CCTGACAGTAAGAGCTGTTCGACAGTGGAATTTGCTGCCCAGGAGTGTGGTGGAGTCTCCTTCTTTGGAGGTCTTTAAGCAGAGGCTTGACAACCATATGTCAGGAGTGCTCTGATGGTGTTTCCTGCTTGGCAGGGGGTTGGACTCGATGGCCCTTGTGGTCTCTTCCAACTCTATGATTCTATTCTATGATTCTAGGTTAAGAACAGTTTCAGGTTAAGAAGAGACCTCTGGAACGAATTAAGTTCTTAACCCAAGGTACCACCGTACAGCACTCCAGGGAGACTTTTCCAGGAAAACGGGGAAGACTTGATCGTCCTCCTCCAGAACACGAGAGATAAGTTCCGCTTCTCGGTCGCCAGCTCAGCAATATTCTTGCCGTGCCACTCACCATGCCCAAAACACTTCCCTCTTCCTTGGAACAGGGATGATCTCAAGAGATTCAGCGCATACGCACCCCCTCTCTACTTTTAGGCCGATCACGAGTTAACTGTTGCGTACATTGACCTCTCGAGCCGGGAGCCTTAAAATAGGACTTTGTGGAAGCAAATCGTCAGAAAAAGACTAGAGAAATGCCAGCTGTGTGTTTTGCAACAGCTTGGGTTTTTTTTGGGGGGGGGCACATTATTCAGGGAAGTTTTTAATGTGTGACATTTTGATGTATTTTTAATCTTTCTTGGAAGCTGCCCAGAGTGGCTGGGGAAACCCAGCTATATGGGCGGGGTACAAACAAACAAACAAACAAACAAAAATAAAATAAAATAAAATAATAATAATAATATCAAATCACAGGAGAACAGGAGCTGAGGACACCCCCCAAAAAAAACCCACACACACAACTCAACTGGAATGCGAAAACCTAAAAAATATCCTATATGCCACAGCAGGTAGGCCTGGAATCATATTTTGGATTGTAACAGTTTTCCCTCCTCTATTCAAAGTGCAGAAGTGGGAGGCAGAGGGAATCTGTGGCTCTTCAGGTGTTGGAAAACTACAACTCCCATCATCGGTGGTCACTGGCACCAGTTGGCCAGGGTTGATGGGACTGGGAGTCCAGTGGCACCAAGGAAAGCCACACAGTCATTTTATAATGCTTGGTAGAAGGATAAAGGGACGCAGGTGGCGTTGTGGGTTAAACCAGAGCCTAGAGCTTGCCGATCAGAAGGTCGGCGGTTCAAATCCCCGCGACGGGGTGAGCTCCCGTTGCTCAGTCCCTGCTCCTGCCAACCTAGCAGTTCAAAAGCACATCAAAGTGCAAGTAGATAAATAGGTACCGCTCCGGCGGGAAGGTAAACGGCGTTTCCGTGCGCTGCTCTGGTTCGCCAGAAGCGGCTTAGTCATGCTGGCCACATGACATGGAAGCTGTACGCCGGCTCCCTTGGCCAATAAAGTGAGATGAGCGCCGCAACCCCAGAGTCGGCCACGACTGGACCCAATTTACCTTTACCTTTAGAAGGATAAAAAAGCTAAAAAAATATTGGAAACAAATACATTCATGGACACAGGAGATTTTGAAGGTTAATGTTCAATGGAAGCTAGAGCTCTTCCTGCTGGGACTAGTGGATATACAATAAGGTTATCAGACGTCCCCGTTTCCCAGGGGAAAGTTCCCGGATTTACAAATCTGACAAAATTTTATCTATTTAAGAAGAAGTTGAAAAGTGTCCCCGGATTCATTGAAAAAAACCACTGGTAACGTTAATATACAACTAGAAAAAGAATATGGAAGGTTATTGCAAGATATGATCAGAGACGAGAGATTGTAGTGTTATTTCCCATATATTCAATAAACGTTTCCCAATCTTCTTTAGGGACGCGGGTGGAGTTGTGGGTTAAATCACAGAGCCCAGGACTTGCCGATCAGAAGGTCAGTGGTTCGAATCCCCGCCACGGGGTGAGCTCTCATTGCTTGGTCCCTGCTCCTGCCAACCTAGCAGTTCAAAAGCACATCAAAGTGCAAGTAGATAAATAGGTACCGCTCCGGCGGGAAAGTAAATGGCGTTTCCGTGCGCTGCTCTGGTTCGCCAGAAGCAGCATAGTCATGCTGGCCACATGACCCAGAAGCTGTACGCCGGCTCCCTCGGCCAATAAAGCAAGATGAGCGCTGCAACCCCAGAGTCCGCCATGACTGGACCTAATGGTCAGGGGTCCCTTTACCTTTTTAATCTTCTTTAAACGTATGTTCTTCTTGTTCTCTTATTCCGTATGTTAAGTCTGTGAGTTGTGTATATTTGGTCAACTTAAGTTGCCATTGGGACCTCGCTCGTTTTCCATTTTTGGCCTAACAAAACACAGGCCGCAGTTGTTGCAGACATAAATAACCTTTCCCGACACCGGGGGATTACATTCTGAATGATCCCCAACAAAAAGGACTATGGGTGTTTTTTTTCAAAGGTTGCCATACGCCCAGAATTGCTTCTTCCTCTTTTAAAGCTGTCCAAGTTGGGTGGCCACCCCTGCCTCTTGTTTTAACTATTTGCTATGCGAAAGGCTGGGCTGGATGAATCCCAAGCCGGAATTAAGATTGCCGGAAGAAATACCAACAACCTCAGATATGCAGATGACACAACCTTGATGACAGAAAGTGAGGAGGAATTAAAGAACCTTTTAATGAGGGTGAAAGAGGAGAGCGCAAAATACGGTCTGAAGCTCAACATAAAAAAAACCCCTAATATCGTGGCCACTGGTCCCATCACCTCCTGGCAAATAGAAGAAATGGAGGCAGTGAGAGATTTTACTTTCTTGGGCTTCATGATCACTGCAGATTGTGACAGCAGCCACGAAATTAAAAGACGCCTGCTTCTTGGGAGAAAAGCAATGACAAACCTAGACAGCATCTTAAAAAGCAGAGACATCACCTTGCCAACAAAGGTCCGTATAGTTAAAGCTATGGTTTTCCCAGTAGTGATGTATGGAAGTGAGAGCTGGACCATAAAGAAGGCTGATTGCTGAAGAATGGATCCTTTTGAATTCTGGTGCTGGAGGAGACTCTTGAGAGTCCCATGGACTGTAAGAAGATCAAACCTCTCCATTCTGAAGGAAATCAGCCCTGAGTGCTCACTGGAAGGACAGATCCTGAAGCTGAGGCTCCAAGACTTTGGCCACCTCATGAGAAGAGAAGACTCCCTGGAAAAGACGCTGATGTTGGGAAAGATGGAGGGCAGAAGGAGAAGGGGACGACAGAGGACGAGATGGTGGGACAGTGTTCTCGAAGCTACCAGCATGAGTTTGACCAAACTGCGGGAGGCAGTGGAAGACAGGAGGGCCTGGCGTGCTCTGGTCCAGGGGGCCACGAAGAGTCGGACATGACGAAACGACTCAACAACAACAACGTGAAGAAGTCTTTCCTTCCTTTCCATCCTAAATCTTTCCATGCTTCACTGAATTTCCGTGATATTCTAGCGTTAAGGCAAGAGATCGTCTGCTGCTCTTACAACTGGAATCCAGAGGAACGGTGCATTTGATCCTGGAGGCTGATTTAAGAGTCGCCGTGACCGGCGAGGCAAAACACGGGCAAATCTTGTCGCTGGCGAATAACCTTTAAAAACCTGCCTTAACTTGGTGGCTGTCACACCAGCTTGCAGCATGGATTGCCATGTCTTGCCAAATGCAAGATGGTTCTTTTAAAATTAAGATTCAGAAGCAATACTAACGCAAGTGGTGAGAAGGTTACAGGTTTTATTCCAAACAGCAAGCAGTATATACATTACCAAACTTCAATCTGCCTCAGGGAGACTATCCCCCAGATAGTCTCGGTCCATAGCACTGCGGCCAAACAGTCTATGTGGAGCGTTTTGCTTGGCACGCTCCAAAGCGAGATTTTTTTATAGACCTGTGTCCTTTTTAAAAAAAAAAAAAAATTTCCCCAATGCAAAATTACAACAAAAATTACAAAAATAAAATCCAAAAAAACAAAACAAGAACAAAGCAAAAAACCCACACACCTACAGAGAAAACCATGCCATCATCTTTACGTACATATATACATATACATATTGACTTCCTTCCTCTGTTTTGAGACCTCAACATTTTTAATCTTTCTGAATTGTTGTGTCTATATACCTTTTGCACTGTTTTTGAATTTCTTTAACCCTGCAAAGCTTCGTTTCATACCAATATACTTACTCCAGAACAATGTTTTTTCATATATTCTTTAACAGAATCCCAATCTTTTGCTAATTTTTGGTCCGATTGCCCCCTGAAGAATGCTGTGAATATTGCCAAATTTATATATTCACAAAGTTTAATTTGCCGTTCTGTTATTGATGGGATTTCCCCCCCCTTCCAGTGTTTTGCCATGAGCATCCTGGCAGCTATTGGCGCATAGAGAACTACTTTCGCGTAGTTAGTCCTATTGGACAACAACAAAAAATGCCAGGCTATATATCAAAGGCTTTGCTGAACAGCGTCATCAACACATAAAAGGCCTTTTCTGAAGGGATATTGAAAGCAATAAAACACAGAAACCAGAGTCAGGAAGGGATAACGAAAGAAAGAAAGAAAGAAAGAAAGAAAGAAAGAAAGAAAGAAAGAAAGAAAAGAAAGAAAGAAAAGAAAGAAAGAAAAGAAAGAAAGAAAGAAAGAAAGAAAGAAAGAAAGAAAGAAAGAAAATAATAATAATAATAATAATAATAATAATAATAATAATAATTTATACCCCACTCATCTGGCTGGGTTTCCCCAGCCACTCTGCGCGGCTTCCAACAAAATATTAAAATACAACAGTCAGTCAAACATTAAAAGCTTCCCTAAACAGGGCTGCCTTCAGATGTCTTCTACAAGTCTGATAGCTGTTTTTCTCTTTGACATCTGGTGGGAGGGCATTCCACAGGGCGGGTGCCACCACCGAGAAGGCCAGAGATGGAAGCTGACTGCATCAGATCATTATCTCCTCAAGGTTACAATAATTCTTCCCCAATATCCCATACACCGTGCAGCTCTACGTGTGAAGAAGCCCGTGAAGACATGCGCAACTTAAAAAGAATCTGACAAAGGCACAGAGCTGGGAGTTTTTAAAAATTATTTTATTTTTTTGTCTTTCAGAAAGTTACAGAGTTTTTGAGCTCACAAGAAAAAGCAAGGATTCCAAAACACCCAACAAAATGACAACGGTTTAATTGCCGTGGCCCCGCTCCAGAGGCATACGCGACGAGAGCCACGGAACAGTTCTGAACTTCCAAACATGCTTTGAAAAAAGGGAGGCAAGCACCAGCCCCCCGACAAAAGTATAAGACTTAAAAACAACTTCTCTCCAGAGGTTCTTAATCATCGGATTTTCCCCTCCCCTCGACCCCCCCCCCGCAGAAAAGTGAACACGTTAATGCAATGCACTTTAACCAAGAAACTTTCTCTAAGGTTTTTAAACATAAATAATTCCTGACGGACACGTACGGAAAAAGGTACTATTATCGCCGAAGCTGGAAAGCTGACGGGAGTCGCCGCAGCTTCCAAATCTCGCGTTTTCGCCTCTCCCGAAGCACGGTTTGCGAGAGGTGGCAAGATGGGCTCCGTCTTGCCGGGGGGGGGGGGCTGCGCCCCCAACCCCCCCTTCACATGTGAGCTACTCTCCCCCCCTCCGAAACAGGGTCCGTGTTTGCTCATTTCACTAGGTAGTCTATGCGATTATTTACAGTATTTTCTTTTTAAAGATAAAAACGACAAGAGAACGGAGATCAAAACGTTCTCTGTGGGTTTGCGGGATGAAGAGAGAGAGAGAAATAGAGAGAGAGAGATAGGTATTAGCATTGCAGAATTTCCTTCTGCGCCTGTGGTTTTTTTTTCCAGGCCCCTTGCAAATAGGAGGTTGCCAGGAGCTACCGGAGGTTTCGCCGCCTCCCGAAAGCTTCCGAACATTTCATCCAATCGCGCCACTCGGAGGTCACCCGCCCACCGGTCTCCGTGGCGACAGGCACCGCCCGCTCTCAGTTGTCCTCGTCGCTGTCGTCCGGGCTGATGGCCGGGCTGGTGAGGCTGTAGGTGGGCGACGTCGGGCTGTAGCCGGGGGAGGTGGGCGAGTAGGTGGAGCCCTTCGGAGAGGTGGGCGAGTAGGTGGGCGAGGTGGGGCTGTACTTCGGGGAGGTGGGCGAGTAGGTGGGGCTGGTCGGGCTGTATTTGGGGGAGGTCGGGGTGTAGACGGGCGAGGTGGGCGAGTAGGTGGGGCTGGTCGGGCTGTACTTGGGGGTGGTGGGACTGTAGGTGGGCGACGTCGGGCTGTACTTGGGCGACGTTGGGCTGTACTTGGGCGACGTTGGGCTGTACTTGGGGCTGGTCGGGGTGTACTCTGGGGAGCTGGGGCTGTAGGACGGGCTGGTCGGGGTGTACTTGGGGCTGGTGGGGCTGTAGCTGGGCGAGCTGGGGCTGTAGCTGGGCGAGGAGGGGGTGTATGTGGGCGACTGCGGGGTGTAGCGGGGGCTGGAGGGGGAGTAGCTGGGCGAGGTGGGGCTGTAGGAGGGGCTGGTCGGGGAGTAGCTGGGCGAGGTGGGGCTGTAGTTCGGCGACGTTGGGGTGTAGTTCGGCGACGTCGGGCTGTAGCTGGGCGAGGTGGGGCTGTAGCTGGGCGAAGTCGGGGTGTAGTTCGGAGATGTTGGGCTGTAGTTGGGGCTGGTTGGTGAGTAACTGGGCGATGTTGGGCTGTAGCTGGGCGATGTGGGGCTGTAGCTGGGGCTGGTTGGAGAGTAACTGGGGGATGTGGGGCTGTAGCTGGGGCTGGTTGGAGAATAGCTAGGGGACGTGGGGCTGTAGCTGGGGCTGGTCGGGGAGTAACTGGGCGACGTAGGGCTGTAGCTGGGGCTGGTTGGAGAATAGCTAGGCGATGTGGGGCTGTAGCTGGGGCTGGTGGGGCTGTAGCTGGGCGACGTGGGGCTGTAGCTGGGGCTGGTCGGAGAGTAACTGGGCGACGTGGGGCTGTAGCTGGGGCTGGTGGGGCTGTAATTGGGGCTGGTGGGGGAGTACGACGGAGAGGTTGGGCTGTAGGAAGGCGACGTGGGGCTGTAGCTGGGGCTCTGCGGTGTGTACGCTCCTGGGGAACGAGGCTCGTAGGCAGGAGAGGTCGGGGAGTAGCTGGGAGACATAGCCCCACCTAGAGGAAGGGAAGAGGAACAGCCGTCAGTCCAGGATCCCGGTCTGTTTGTTTTGGATTTGATATCCCACCTTTCACTCCCTTTAAGGAGTCTCAAAGCGGCTAACATTCTCCTTTCCCTTCCTCCCCCACAACAAACACTCTGTGAGGTGAGTGGGGCTGAGAGACTTCAGAGAAGTGTGACTGGCCCAAGGTCACCCAGCAGCTGCATGTGGAGGAGCGGGGAAGCGAACCCGGTTCACCAGATTACGAGTCCACCGCTCTTAACCACTACACCACGCTGGCTCCTTACACACACTGTTTTCCTTACAGCGCACTGAAAGAATGAATTCTCTCGCTCACCTGGTGATGGGATGTACGGGCTGGAGGGTCCTGGAGATCCAGGGGACCCCGGGGTGGGCGACCAGGCTGGAGAATAGCCGGGGCTGAAGCCGCTGGCGTCGGAGGCGGCGCTGGGTGAAAAGCCAGCTGCCCCCGGAGTCATTCCGCTACCTGCGCAACCAAGGAAGGAAAAAGGGAGTAAGAAACAGGTCCCAAGTCGGAGGGAAGAGTTGCAGCAAAAAGTTCAGGTCGCGGGCAACTTGTACAACTGCGAAAGTCCTGAGTAATTGCTGGTGCGGTGGCAATTATCGCAACCCCGCTTTGGAAACTGAGGTGGCAAGCGCAGCCTATAAACAGAAATAATAAATATGGAACCACGTGGTCTTTTTCCCTTTGTGCCTGGGTTTTGACGCCATTAGCAGTTGGAGTTTGTCTTCAAAGGCCAAACTGCAGTGTGTGTGTGTGTGTGTATGTTTGTGGATCGGGACTATTGATCATTTGCTGTACATAACACCCCCAACAGCCTGTACACACATGACATTTCCTGCAGGTTATTTCCCTGCCTTTTGCAATTGGGGGTGCAAGGCCACACGACGCACGTGCGCAGCTGAGGAACCGAATCTCCAGTTTAGGAGCCCAGCCAATGTTTGCAAAGCAATGAAAGGTCAAACACACAGAGTTCATCTATGTGCCTTTCTTTTTTTTTCATTTGGCAGGAGAAAGAACATCGCAAGAAACCCACAAAACCTCTTGGGAGAATATGCAGGTCTCCTTACTTCCCCTAATTTGCGATTTCCCACGGCACGGTCCCAGAGATCCTGGGAAGGAGAGATCCCAAGGCAGGGAAGATTTAGAATCATGGGTTGGGAGCACTGGACGAGGGCCAGAGACACCCATGTTCAAATCCCCAATTCAAGCCATGAAAGCTTACTGGCCAACGGCTTGGCCTACACAACAGGGACGTTGGGAGATTAAAACTGGTGCGCGTCAAAAAACACAGGCATGTTGTTGTTGATCAACTTGGAACGTAAAGCAATATTCCAACCATCTGGGTCAAGCTCAAACCTGCAGCTAATAATTCCAAGAGGGGGCATTTGTGTAGGCGGAAGACCCCCCTCCCCGATACGTACCAACGCTAGGAGACCATGCCCCATAGGCTGGTGTTGCGCCTTGGTTCCAGGGGGTCATGGCAGGCGACATTCCCCCCATGGGGCTGGGAGCAGACCCAAAGAACATGCCGGTAGCTGTAAGGAACGGAATGGAATTAGAGAGGAGAGGAAATTGGCCCCAACAGAGACCCTCTTGCTTTCACTTACCTAAATCTACTGCCCTAAACTCTCGCTTTTACCCTTTGCTTTATAATCTGCAAAATCCTGCCCTCTCAAACACACATTTCTAAAAGGAAGATGCCCTGCTTTCCTCGATATTCAGCCTCACGAGCCTGAGCACACCTCCCTCGCCCCAAAGGAAACGGCTGTGAAGCAAAGCGTCGCACGCTTTCAGCTGCCGAGACGCGAGCGTCTGTTTCAGGGAAGCGAAGAATTCCTTCAAGGGAGGAAACGGTCACTTGGAGTCATCTGCCCATGTCTGCCTCGCTCCTCTACTTAAGTCCTCTGTGGTGCTGGCTTGCGCATACCCTGTTGTGCCAACTCCCAGAATCCCCTGCTCCGCCCATGCGAAACCTGCCTCTCCCCTCTCAAGAGGACCCCAGATTTCCAGGCCTGCCGCTGCCTCCTTGCTCCCAGACCGGCAAGCGTGGCAGGTTGACTTACGTCCGCCCACGCCCAGCCCCGGGATATTGGTGGGGATCTCCATGCCATATTTGCACTTCTCAGCGTCCAAGAGGAGGTCGAAGCAGCCGGTGCCCGCCGGGGCCAGCTGGCCCAGCATGATGTTCTCCGAGACGCCCTTCATGGGGTCGCTTTCGCCGTGGGCAGCCGCTTCCATCAGCACGTCAACCTGCAGGGGGCAGCGGAGGGCAGGGCGAGTCAAAGGGTGGCCCGCTAGCTCACATTCTCCTTTCTCTTCCTCCCCCACAACAAACACTCTGTGAGGTGAGTGGGCTGAGAGACCTGTGAAGTGTGAAGTGTGACTGGCCCAAGGTCACCCAGCAGCTGCATGTGGAGGAGCGGGGAATCGAACCTGGTTCCCCAGATTACGAGACTACTGCTCTTAACCACTACACCACACTGGTACAGCACAAATGCACAAATGTGGAGGCAGACCATAGAAGCATGGAATCGTAGAATTGGAAGGGACCCTGAGACTCATCTCATCCAACGGCCTGCAAAGCAGGAATTTGCAGCAGCCCCATATGGGGATGAAACCTGCCACCAATGGCGTGGTGAGCGCCATGCTCTAACCAACAGAGCCGTCAATAATAATAATAATTATTATTTATTTATACCCCGCCCATCTGGCTGGGTTTCCCCAGCCACTCTGGGCAGCTCATAGCATACATCAGAACAAACTAAAAACATCAAACACTAAAACTTCCCGATACAGTGGTACCTCGGGTTACATACGCTTCAGGTTACAGACTCTGCTAACCCAGAAATAGTGCTTCAGGTTAAGAACTTTGCTTCAGGGTGAGAACAGAAATCGTGCTCCGGCGGCGCAGCAGCAGCAGGAGGCCCCATTAGCTAAAGTGGTGCTTCAGGTTAAGAACAGTTTCAGGTTAAGAACGGACCTCCGGAACGAATTAAGTACTTAACCCGAGGTACCAGTGTACTGTGTGAAGTGGGACTGTTGTCCTTTGTTCTTTCCCTTTGCTGTCTGATGCTAGAGAGAGAGGGAGCTATGTGGCAGTGCTCCGTGTGTGTTTATATGTAAATGAAGTAGATTAGCCAAAATGCTGAGTTGCTGAGGTCTGTCATGCAAGATGAACAGACTCTGTGGATCCCTAAGTGTGCCGATGTCTGTTGGCATCGGTCGCTGTGATGTTCGGGCCGAAGAAAGCTTTTGAAGCTCCCGAACGATCGACCAGGAGGGAGAGAACAGGCCAGTCGGGCATGCGTCTCTGCCAGGGTCCTACTCGAGTGGAGGCTGAACCCCTGACAAATTCCTGGCCCTTTCCCTCCCCCAGAAAACTCACCGTCTCTTCGAAGGAGCACTTCATGAGGGGCCCCGTGTCCTGTCGGTTGACGCCGTGCCGGGTGATGGCCATCAAGTGGCCGCGGCAGGTCATGGTGTCGCAAAGCAGCGCCAAGTGGCGGTAGTTGACGTAGGAGCCGTCGAAGGAGATGACGTGGTACAGCTCCCTCTCCAGGGCTTTCCTGACGGCCTCAATGCCCAGCACCTGCAAGGGCGAGGAGAGGCAGGCTGCCACAGTTGCAAAGAGGGGCCCCCCAAAACTGCGCTCCCAGATCCCCTCCCTTAAATCTTCATCTTGGAGGGAACGCCTTCTCCCTTTCTCTCTCTCACACACAAACACAAGATCGCCTTGCCCCATTGTGAGCCAACTCGGCCACTTCAATCGGTGGAATTGGCACTGTGCAGGTGGCACCCGATACCCGTTCCACATGCGCAAAAGAACCATCTTTTAGTGCGCTTCGGAACTCCCTGCCTGTTGACTGCCTTTCACTACACTGCCTTCCAAAGGCATTCCAGTTTAGATAAGCCTAGCCAGAAAGCTGGTGCGAGAGCAAATCTGCTTTCGATCCATTGTTATTTTAAGCACCTTAAATTACTGTTAATTTTGCTCTGCAATTATGTCAACCTTGCATCTTTTCTGTAAACCGTTTTTGAAGTTGTTATTGTTGCTTTTGCAGTCAAGTGGTTGTTATAAGAATTTTAATATAGAATATTCTCAATAAATAGTCTCAAATATATAATAAGTATTCATTAATGCACACATATCTAAATATACGAACCATGTCTCTGAAATAGTATGGGAGAATAATCCTGAAACCATTTTGATTTCTCCCAATGACCTCAAATATTCCTCTGCAGTAAGGGAGGCAAATGGGGAAAGCCTTCCCATTGTCTTTTTGGCTCACAAATCCTGTCTTAAGGGCATATTTGTGTAGGAATAGGGTGAGCCTGTGACCTGGACTCAGGAACTAACGTATTAACCACCACAAAAGAATGGCCAGGCTGCCCAGGTAATGCAGTCAGTGACCATTATCAGGTATCCTGGCAGACAAGATTTCTGCTGTAGACTGCCTCCTTCTGTGATGTATGTATGATGTTTTGGGGGGTGGTCTTGGGCTACAGGGTGGGCAATTTCAAGTGTCTATATAAGGGCTTGCGCACCATTGTTCAGGGTTCCTCCTCTTTCCTGCGTGTGGTGAGCGGGGGACCCTGTTGCAACAGTTTAATAAAGATCAGGCTTACTAGCTGTTTTGCTTCTCAGTATACTCTGGTTGGCCTCTGTTGTTTTCTCCTACCGATAGGGAACCCACTTAAGGACTCTTGGATACACCATAAGGGAAAGGGGGCAGTTTTTCTTGTAAGAATAAATAACTGCACCCAGTTCTATCAGGCTTACTAGCCACTTTGCTTCTCAATATACTCTGCTTGATCTCTGTTATTTCCTCATACTGATAGGGAACCCTCAAGGACTCTATACAGGCTCCACAATACCCCATAAGGGAAAAGGAGCAGTTCTTTTCTTGTAACATGCCGCATGCATCATATAAAATTAATAAATGAATGAACATGCCCTATTGCAGAGGAAGGGCTGCTCCCCCCAACCTACCTCTCGCGAGAAACCCCAGAACGAGCCCCCTCCTAGCCGTATATCCCCCCCCCCCCGGGTACCCACCGTGAAGATCTCCACAATGTCGTTGGAGGTCGTGCGCACGGGGTCCACATCCTTCTCACTCAGCACCCGCATGAGGCTGACGCCGTCCGTCTCCAGAATCCACTCCTGCAAGGCCTTGAACTCCCCGTCCTCCGTGATTATGATCTTCTTCTTGTTGTCTGTCTGGGGCAGGTGCATGTAGACCTAGAGGGGGAGATAGAGGGCAAAAAAGGGGGTCAGGGTGCGCTCGGAGGGAACCCCTCATCATGCCTAGGTGGGGAGGGGATTGTGGGAGCCAGCTAAGATCTCCCGAGTGCGAATCCCGCTGCCCAGGCTCACCTTGCTGATCTGTTCGATGCCCTGAAGCGTCATGTCCGTCAGCATGTTGGACTCAATGCAGCGGAGGAAGACGTCGTCGTCCATCTTGTCCACAACTTCCTCCTCCTATAAGCCGCGCAAGAGGGAGGGGAGGAGGCAGAAAGTGTCAGCCCTGTTGTGTTCTCAGGACCCCAACCCTGCCCCGGAAAGGCTGCTAGGAGCCTGAGGAGCCACTTTGCACCGGCGTGAGTGCATTTGCGTTAAAAAGAGTCACAGAGCAATAGCGATAGGTCTGCCCGCCCTTATCCCCCTTGCCAGCCTCAGGCCTCACAGGCCATGGCAAGGCAGAGACACTGCCATTTGCAGTTGGAGTGGCTTGGGTGTGACTCTGGAGAAGGGCAATCTCCTCAACCAGCCCGTGGGATAAACGTAGGACCCACTGGGCATGTGGAATGCCACTAGCCTCTACAGATACTCTCCTGTATTTCTGATTATGTAAAAGGGCCTTCTGTGGCTTTCCCATTTTCCTCGATAATAATAATAATAATTTATTATTTGTACCCCACCCATCTGGCCTCCTTCCTTCCTTCCTTCCTTCCTTCCTGCCATTATAGTCTTCATTCTTGGATTTTGGGTGGCTCTCTAGTCCAGGGGTCAGCATACTTTTTCAGCAGGGGGCCGGTCCACTGTCCCTCAGACCTTGTGGGGGACTGGACTGTATTTTTTGGGGGGGTTGTGTGTGTGTGGAATGAACGAATTCCTATGCCCCACAAATAACCCAGAAATGCATTTTAAATAAAAGCCCACATTCTACTCATGTAAAAACACGCTGATTCCTGGACCGTCCATGGCCCGGATTGAGAAGGCGATTGGGCCAGATCCGTCCCCTGGGCCTTAGTTTGCCTACTCATGCTCTAGTAGTATTAACTAGATAAAGGGACGTGGGTGGCGCTGTGGTCTAAACCACTGAGCCTCTCGGTCTTGCCGATTGGAAGTTCGGTAGTTTGAATCTGCTCTACGGGGGTGAGCTTGCGTGGCTCTGTCCCAGCTCCTGCCAACCTAGCACCCCACAGTCGAATTCGACTGGACTTAACGGTCCTGGGGTCTTTTACTTCTTACCTATTAGCTAGATGTATGCCTTAATACTTAAAAAACTGTATTTTTGCTGAATGAAGATACGTACAGGGAGCTGTCAGAGAAGAGGAAGGGGCAGTATGAGAGGCAAGTCAGAGGTGTTTTTCTCATGGTGTGTGACTGATTAAGAGGAATTAAGAGGTGGGAGGATTCAGAGAAGATTAAAACGCTGACTGAGGGCTACACAGATCTATTTATAATTTTGTGTTTTATGAAGATCATTGCTGGTGATCATTAATGCATCTTACTTTTTCTCTTCTGTTTGATATATTATTTTTCATTACTCTATTTTGCTTAATTACTCTTGTCAGAGCTGGCTCCAGGTCCCAGCTCACAGAGGACCAACGCTAGCCGGCAGTAATGTACAAAAGTCTTTATTGAAGTACAGTTTCCATTTTCAAGCCGGAGCGCCCCAGCTCTACGTCTAGGGGTTAGATCGGCGAAGCTCCATCTGAGTCTCCGCCCCCTGTACACCAGTTTAAGATTCTAGCCTTACTCCACCTCTTACGTCTCTCCTTTCTCCTCTGGGTCCTGCTACCCCCCGGGGTCCCTTCCTTCCTGGATTCTTCTGACGCTGGCCGCCGTGGGTGCTCGCCCGCTTTCGGCGGGCTTTGGGGCCTGGCTCCCTATCCGGGCTGCCAACTGCGCCGCCCTCCTGTACATTTGAACTTGGCGCGCGCGCCCAGCCTTCAACCTTCCTCTCAACCGTTTCCTCGCTCCCCGATGGAGGCGTGGCCAATCCTGACTCATGTCCTCCCACTGGCAGTGCGCCGCCTGATCCCGATGCCTGGGACTCCTCCCCCCTACTGCACTCTGGTGTGGACGCTGGTCCTGATTTCCAACTGCTGCTCTCTGAGTCCCCTCTGGCCCCTTCTTCCTGGGGTGTCCCCTCGGCACCCCCTTGCTCTGACCAAGGGAGCCCCTTTCTGTGAATCTTCCGATTCGCTGGAAAGACTCAGAGACCTCGGACCGCTGTCATCGCTAACATTTCCTTCGGACTCCTCCCCCTCGCTCTCTATTTCCTCCCTTTCCTGTGCCTCTGCTCCTGAACCCCTGACAACTCTATTTTGCTTAGTTTGAGTTTTATGGTATTATCAGGTTCAAAACCTTTAATAAAGTAGATCTAAAAGGCTTCATTCAAAGCCATCTTCTACCAGGACCACCCCCCCCCCACCTCTTGCATCTTGTTTTCGTCGCTATTCATAATCCGGATTCGCAGCACCAACTTCTCTGCGTTGTCATCGTTGAAAATGCAGTTGAGGTCGTCCCCAAAGCCTGCAAAGGGAGGAGGGAAGAAAGGTTGAGCTCCTGGGCTGAAGAGCAAACCGCAACACCTTCTCTAGAATGGGGTTTTTTTTGGGGGGGGGACCTAATCCCAACTCTGCCCCTCCTTCTCACCAGCATTGATCTTCTCAGCGATCTGCTCCATGGTGAGCTTGCGGTCGGTCATGTGCTTGCGGTCCAGCTCCACGCGCAGCAGCCAGGGGGAGATGCGGGTGACGTCAAAGTCGGGCATCTCGTAGTAGACGTTCACCCACTCCTGGTCCTCGGCCACCACCGTGTTCTGCGGGTTGGGGTCGTAGTAGATGGCGGTGTTGGCAGTCACCTTGCGGAGGGTCGTGTGCTCCAGGCGGCAAAGGATGTCCTGGGAAGAAGACAGGCCCCCGGGAGAGTAGGGGGTAGGGGAGAGAGTGGGGTGAAGATGCCTGGCCATGAGAGCGCCTAGTCTTACCCTCCTGCCAACCACAGAGCTGCCCGTTTCCACTCAATACATTTTTTGGAGGGGAAAAAGCAAGTTCTGTGCATAAGAAGCTACACTTGGCACAGTGAGCTAAACTTTGGCCATCTCCTGCAATCCATCAGTCAACCTGCTGGGATCCGAGAGCGAGGGATCAGGCACACAGGGAAACCTCGCTGTCCACGAAACAGCAAATGGATAAAGGAGACCGCACAGAGCTTATGTGATGCTTCAAAATCCTTTGTGTTTGAGATGTATCAATAATAAAAGCACATTCTATTTTATTGGGCAGTTTTGGAATGATTCTCCCAACTCTTGTTTCTTTCTCTGCTTACGGTACAATGTATTTCTGCCTGTAATGTGAATTTAACCCTGTAGGAGTACGTTTTTATTGATGTAGACCATTAAAAAAGTGTTTTTTTAATGACACGATGGTACTAAAAAGTTTCAGTAACTACTAAAGGAACAGGAAGGTTTGCAGCTTCTGCTGGAAAGGGACCCAGAAGCAGAAGGAAAAGACCATGAATGTGAGTGTGGAGTCGTTTGAGAAAAAGGTCTTTGGAGAGGCTACAAGCGGGTGCAGAATACCACGGTGAGACTCCTTACAGGGTCCTCGTTGCGAGATCACATTCACCCAGTGCTATACCAGCTGCACTGGCTCCCGGTGGAGTACAGGATCAGGTTTAAGGTGCTGTTTTAACCTTTAAAGCCCTATACGGCCTAGGATCCTTGTACCTACAGGACCGCCTCTCCTGGTATGTCCCACAGAGGAACTTACGGTCTTCAAACAAAAACATCTGGAGGTCCCGGGCCACAGAGAGGTTAGGCTGGCCTCGACCAGAGCCAGGGCTTTTTCGGCTGTGGCCCCAATCTGGTGGAACTCTCTGTCACAAGAGACTAGGGCCCTGTGGGACTTGACATCTTTCCGCAGGGCCTGCAAGACAGAGCTGTTCCACCAGGCCTTTGGCCAAGGCACAGCCTGACTCCCTCCTCTGGCAATCCGCACAGAACTCTAGCCCAATAGTTGCCATTAATCTGATTTGAATTAATTTTATAATGAAATGATTTTAGAATGTTTTATCATTTTAGTGTTGTTAGCCGCTCTGAGCCCGGCTTCGGCTGGGGAGGGCGGGATCTAAATAAAATTATTTATTTATCATTATTATGATGATGTGAAAAAGGCTCAGCCAACAGGCAAAGTCTCCATTTGCTCCACCCCCCTCTTTTCCTGCCTTTTCTCCTCCTCTGGATCCGTACCTTGGCCCTCTCAGCATCTCGGGCGGACTGTCCCAGCAGGAAGACGGTCAGCGAGGGAGTCTTGGGCTTCTTGGAGATGTTGATCAGCTCCTTGAGTCGGGGCACGCCCAGCGTCACGTTCTTGGCCGAGACACCGGCGTAGTGGAAGGTGTTCAGGGTCATCTGAGTGGCTGGCTCGCCCAGGGACTGGGCAGCCAGCGCCCCCACCATCTCGCCAGGGTGAGCCTGCGGGAGGATGGGCAAAGAGGGAATGAGCAGCCGCTGACCTCAAGGGGCCGCCCAGCCATGGCTTTATATGGTAAGCCAGTCTGGACCCTGGCAGACCAGGGTTCCAATCCCCGCCCAGCCAAGAAGCCCAATGGGTGGACTTGGGCCAGTCACTCACTCACTCACTCACTCTCAGCTTAACCTACCTTCTAGGGTTGTTGTGCGGTTAAAATGGAGAGAACCTAACAGTGATATTCTTATGGTGTGGCCACAAGGAAACCCTTTTTGCTCTTGTTTTTCATTAACCACAGTTTAGCGTTACGCCTAAACCCTAAAGCACGGTTAACCTAAACTATGTTCGAACAACCTGCAACGCTGGGTGGATAAAAATCAATGATTTTATATATATATATATATATATATATATATATATATATATATATATACACACACACACACACACACACACACACACACACAAAAATTTTTAATTAAATGCTTTTGGAGGGAAAATGTTTCTAAAGATAGTTTTCTATTTAAGTTACATTATAGTCAAAAGGCTATTCATCAGGAAATAAGGAGTTGTTTTAAGTTTTTCATGTGTGCTAAAAGTGTCTTAAGCTTTTTTTTATAAAAAAGTTTAACCACAACAGTTAGCAAACATGGATACATATGCTATAATGTTATTGTTTTAGTTAAATAAATTATTTAAATTGTAATTAAGGGAATGATTATTTTTCTCCTTCCAATAAAGTACAGCAGAAAAGCTGTCCGAATATAAAGTTAACTTATTATACACCTCACAATAATTTCATAAGTATTTCTAATAGCATAAAGCAAATCATAAGTATTTCTAATAGCATAAGCAAATCAATAATTTTTTATAAAACTGAAAAAACTACTCTGAAAATTTATTATTCCAAAAACGAAACCTTCATCTGGCTGCAAATATTAAGATTCTACCGGCAAGCATGAGTCTTTCTGTAAAAAAATGATTTAAATCAAGTCTTGCTGACGAGTGATTTAAATCGATGTGATTTAAATCAAACCCACCCCGCTGCAAAGCCTTGAATTTCAAACATAGCTCGGCTATAAATTTGAAAACGATCTTGTTCAACTGGTTTGGGTTATGTCCCTCAGGAGTTCCTTTAAAAACATTTTAATTTTTCCCCTGGAGGGAGCCACACATCCAGGATGGTACCCAGCCATGTACTCACAATGGCCTGGTTGAATTTGGACTCGATCTCGCCCAGCAGCCAGTCAAAGGCTTCCCCGCTGAGGCGGAACTCCTCAATCATGCGCCGGCTGCAGAGAGTGGAGCGCAGGTGGATGTTGAAGAGGAGCGTGGCGTTCTCCTGCGCCTGCTTGCTGAGGGGGTCGTCCCCGTTCACAATCACCAGTTTCTTGCTGAGCTCCTTGACGCCTGTCGCAGGAAGCAGAGAAGGGCAGGAGGGGGTGAGCTGAGAGATTGCGGCTCGCTTGTTCTCGGCAAGTTAATATTATCCCGGCCTTGTTCCAGCCGCGTTCTACATCTTTCCCCCACTCCCGGGAGAGCCGGCTGAATTATTCACGTCGGAAAAGCGTCACTGGATTCGGCAGCGTGGCAAGAAAGGAGCCTGGCCGCAGATTTCCCCTGGCAGGCTGGTGTGTGTGTGTGTGTGTGTGTGTGTGTGTGATCCTCCCCTACTCTTGCCACTGGTTTCTGCCCCTCCCTGCCAAACTCACCATCCACCACCTTGATAGGATGCAGGTCAGAGGGCAGGCGTGTGTTGATGTGGAAGATCTTCTGCGCGTTCCAAATCATGCGCAGCAAGTTGCATGGGAGAACCACCTGTGTGGGAATGGAGAGTTAGGAACTGGGCACTGCCAGGTGCGGCCATCAACCAACGCTGCCCCCTCCATCACCAGCAAGACTCCTCCTTTTAACCTCTTGTTGCTTTTCCAGCAGGGCGTATCCTATGCCACCAAGCTTATGACGGCATTTCATATAGTAAACAAACAGGTAACAATGAAAATATTGTACAGTCGTAGCTCCTAAATGTCTTGGGAGACGAATGTTCCGGCTCCCGAACGATCAAAAACCAGAAGTGTTCCGGTTTTTGAATGTTCTTTTGGAAGCTGAACGTCCAATGGAGCTTCCGCGGTTTCCGATTGGCTGCAGGAAGCTCCTGCAGCCAATCAGAAGCCAAGCTTGGGTTTCCAAATGTTTTGGAAGTCGAATGGACCTCCGGAACAGATTCGGTTTGACCTCTGAGGTACGACTGCACTGCCAATACGTAAGTTGATCTCCAATTTTATTATTTTCTATGGTTTTCGTTGTATGGTTTTCTATGTGTGACTGCTGCACACCATATCCTGGATGTTTTTAAAAAATAAACTGTATATTCCTGTTTTTTTAAAACCGAGTAATAAATATTCCAGGGCAAGGCGAAGGAAAACAACAAAATGGGTTGATTAATTTTGCTATGGATTTATGAAAAGAGGGTGGTTTGGGGGGCGAGGAGAGAGGCATGAGTTAGAAAACCCTAATTAGGTCCAGTAATCCCTGCATCTTTGCATATTACAATTTATTACATGCCTTCACCCTAAGGTCCTGGGGGTAGGCCGCAGCCATTAAATCACAGCATTAGCACTGAAACACAATTATTAAAAACAGCTTGAAACAACTTAAAATTAGTGCTCCAACATTTTTCTCGCTTTCAAAATCAAGATTTGCTCGTGCCACACCTAGTTTTTTTTTACTGGTAAGAAATATATTGGAAAACGCAACTAGGGCGGGTCCCTGCTATCCCTGGATGCTTCTAGCTCTCGTTTTGAAAATCTATCCGTACTTTGCAAATAAATGAAATTATCTTGATGCTATGCTACATGACACTGAAATGTTCAAATGCTGCTTTGATTGCCCTTGAATCTTCCTGCCACGCCAAGGTGGAAGACCACACCCTTTGAGAACCACGGAACTAGCGCATCCAGGAAGCGGAGAGGGAATGTCCACACATGCAGGGTTGCGGGTTTTTTTGGGTGGGGACATAAAAAAACACCCTGCTGAACCAGACCAGAAACATGATCTGGACTAGGAGTCTCCAGGGGTCTCTTCCTGCCCAGCCTGGAGGTCAAGACAAGGCCAGACAAGCCTCACCTTGCTGTCTCCCGTAGGGAAGATCACCCTCAGCACCTCCCGGTCAGCCTTCATCTTCTCGAACTCCCTCTCCAGCTCGTTCTGGATGTGGGCGTTGCTGAGAATGTCCTTCACCATCTCCTCCTGCAGGGTGCGCCGCAGAGCCCGCTCGTTGGTGTAGTCGAATTTGAACCTGGAGAGGGGGGAGAAGGAGGAGAAGAGACCTTCAAGAGGACAGCTGCGATGCTCTGGATATTTCCAGGACACCCAAAGCCTGGACCGAGCGACAAAGCGAAGCCACGGTCTACTGGGAACAGGGGCTCTTGATGCAATAGAGGGGCGGTGTGTTTGTTTCGCCAGCTGAAAATAATTCATGGCATGTGCCTGACTGTTGCAGCCCATCTGAGATTGCAGTAAGAAAAGACAGAATTTCAAGAGGCATCCTATAGCTTGGCCTTCCCCAACCTCAGTTCGTCTCCTTTACAGGCGACTCTACTGACACGGAAGCTGTTTGCACTGAGCTCCCTCGTTGCCCGGCGCAGATCAGGACTCTCCAGCCTCATAAGCAGGGGGGAGAGAGGAAATCCCACACAACGTGGGAGCAACGGAATAAAGGCGATGCACGCAGAAGGATGATGGACTACATGGAATTGGCGGAAATGACTGGCAGAATCCGAGACCAGGGAGAAGAGTCGGTGGAAGAAGATTGGAAGAAATTTAAAGACTACTTACAGAAATATTGTAAAATTAATGAATGTTAGAATGATGTTGGATTGAAGTTAAGTGGTTTCTAGCTGTAATGGTATAAAAGAATATGGAAAAATTGGATTTTCAATACGTAAAAACCTATTGCTATAATATATTAAGATTAAAGATCAGGATTAAAAAGGAGGGAAAGGAATTGCTGGACTAATAAATTGAACTGGAATACAAAAAAGGGAGGTATGAGGAGGTCCGGGAAACAAGTAAATGAAAGAGAAGTGATGAAATGATGGAATTGTTTTTAATTGTTGGGGGTTTTTTTTGTATTTTGTATTTTTCTTTTTTCTATTTTTCTCTGTCTTATTTATGTATCCTTCTTTTGAAACCTTAATAAATATCGTTTAAAAAAAAAAAAACCAGAAGGAAACCCCCGAGGCAAGACTCACTTCTTCTCAAAGGCCTTGTTGGAAGGCTTGAGCGTGGCCAGGTTCTGGAATTCCACACTCTCCCCCGCCAGCCCGTCCTCGCCGTAGCGCAGCTGCACCACCTGGTTGATGGAATTGCGCACCGTGGCGTCGTACTTCACCATCACTGACTCCATGGACTTGATCAGCCGCCGCTGGATGTAACCTGGCCATTGGGCAGAGGAGGAGGTTAGTGAGAAACCCGGTACGCCCCACAGATCCTCCATATCTATCTATCTATCTATCTATCTATCTATCTATCTATCATTTTTATTAAATTTTCTGTTTTACAATTCAAAACACTCATTTAAGCATCCTTAAAATATCAACAACTTCCCTTCCTCTCTTTCCGTGGTTCATTTTGCGTATCACAAATCCCTGCATATTTTACAAAACTAAACCATTCAGTATCCCATTATTGCATCCATCAAAACTTGTGTACACTGTTGAATTTATCTTAATGCTGCCAACGTTTTTCCAAGTGTACACAATTTACCATGTATTCAATAAATGTTTTCCAATCTGTTCTAAACGTATGTTCTTCTTGTTCTCTTATTCTATATGTTAAGTCGGCAAGCTGCGCAGAAGAATATCACCGTTCTTCTTTAGTTGGGAGCATGCTTACTTTCCATTTGGGGGCTAACAAAACACGGGCCACAGTAGTGGCGTACATAAATAACCTTTTTTGACAGCTGGGAATTGCTGTCTGAATCATCCCCAACAAAAAGGACTCGGGGGTTTCTTTTGGAAATGTACTTTTAAACATTTTTTTCAATTCATTATGGATTATTTCCCAATACTCTTTTACAAGTCCACCACATTCAAGTCGACACAAGTGCTGCTTCTGTCAGCAGCTCAGACTTCTGGGTGAAGAGGGGAGCTGTTCTTGCCAGTGCTCTCTTTTTTAAAAAAAATGATATTTATTAAGAGTTTAAAAATTACAGAAAAAAGAAAAAACAATAACAATAAAAAAGAAAAAACAATAACAAAACATATAGAACATATAAAAGCAATACAGTAATACAACAAAAAAGAAAAACAAGAAACTAAAACAAGCATCCAATATTCCATATCTTTACCTTTCCTTTACTTGTTTCATCGACCTCTTCACACCTCCCTTTTTTTGTATTCTAGTTCAATTCACTATTTCAGCAAGTTCTTCCCATCTTTCTCAATTTTTATTCTACAATTTATCTTAACGATCTAACCTTGAATTTTTTCATTTTAACCCATTATCAATCAGCTTTTACTTAATTCTTTGTTACATTTCTACTAAAACCATGTAACTTCATTCCAGCATCCTTCTAACACTCATTAATTTTACAATGTTTCTTGCCAGTGCTCTCATGGACCACACCTGGGCTACAATATCTGTCCAAGAGCCACAGAGCCCCATCTCTGGAAAACGAATGCCTGGACATCTCCCGGTTTAGGCCAGTTACTAAGCAAAAGTGTTTTCAGTTTCCCAGATTGCTCTCTGTGTGGCGACCTCTCGTCTTTACCTGTGCTGCATCTTCATGGGGCAGTGGAATCATTGGCAATGTATAAGGGTTCTTGGGTCCGGGTTCTCGAGTTCCCAAGGGGTCCCATTTTGCTAAAAGTATTTTCCTTTCCTAAACAGCTTTCATTCTACACTATGATTAATCCAACTAACTTCTTCATTTTGGGTTTGTATGTTTGGGGGCCTCCTGTGGCGCAACGGGTCAGTGCATTTGGCTGTTAACCAGAAGGTTCGTGGTTCGAGCCCACCCAGGGATTGCTGTGGGGAGAATTCTTGCATTGCGGGTGGGGGGGGTTGGACTAGATGACCCTAGGGGTCCCTCCCACCTCTAGAATTCTGATGTGGGTTAAAGCCTTGGTTCTAAACCAGTGTCTCAGACACATCTTTGGTCACATCTGTGATTGTACAGTTTGTCTGCCTTGACGCCCCAGAAGCAGAGAGTGGCACTTTAACTCTTGCTCCTTGTGGGGTTTTGGGGGTGTACAGAGCATAGCCTGAGATCTCCTGGATCAGATTGGACGAGCAAAAGAAGAGTGGCGTAACAGCTGTCCTACTTAACAGGGTTGCTTTTACCCCCAGGTGCTGGCGCCCCGTCTAAACCACCAAGGAAACACTGGCCTGGGTTTGGGGTCAGGTTTTCTGAATTCCTGGATTGAACCTGATTTTCCCAGGCAGGATGGGAGGATGAATCCCGGTTGCTGAAAGAACAGCACTAAACCACCATGTACCCCTCTCTCTTCTCCCCCCCCCGCCCCCTTCCCTCCAAACCCACCTGTTTCAGCTGTTTTGACAGCCGTGTCGATCAGCCCCTCTCGGCCTCCCATGGCGTGGAAGAAGAACTCGGTCGGGGTGAGACCGGCCAGGTAGGAATTCTCCACAAAGCCCCTGCTCTCGGGGCCGTAGTCGTCCTTGATGAAGTGGGGCAGCGTCCGGTGCTTGAAGCCAAAGGGGATGCGCTTCCCTTCCACGTTCTGCTGCCCCACCACCGCAATGACCTGTGGGGAGCAGGGGGGAAGAGGCGGGGCAGTCACCCAAAGTGCCCGGCGTCCAGCGGAACAGGAAGGCCGTCTACCATGCCTGGTGTCCGTCCATCCACCCACCGGGTTCCTGGAAGCGGAGGGGCGAGGCCTACCTGCGAGATGTTAATCTTGGAGCCCTTTGCTCCCGAGACCACCATGGACTTGAAGTTGTTGTACTCGGAGAGGGACTTCTGGGCGGACGAGCCGGTCTTGTCTCGGGCGTCGTTCAGGATCCTGTTGACCTGGTTCTCAAAGGTCTGCCTCAGCGTGTTGCCAGGGGTGGGCTCCAGTTCGTTGTTGTGGGCCTTCTCGATCACCTGGAGTCAGGCGGGGAAAAGAGGGGGAGAGAGTCTCAGAACGGGCCCCTTCCCCCGGGACAAAGCCAAGCCCACCCAAGGCTATGGGATTGCTCTCCCCTTCCCTCTCCATCCTACCCAAACACAAGCCTCCCTTCCCTCGCCAGTGTGGTGTAGCGTTTAGAGTGTCGGTCCAGGGTTCAAATCTCCACTCGGGTGCGAAGCTCACAGGGTGGGCCTTGGGCCTGTCACTGCCTCTCTCAACCTAACCTACCTCAGAGGGTTGTCGTGAGGGAGAGAGGAAGGCTAGGTAAGCCACCCTGAGGTCCTTGGAGGAAAGATGGGCTATAGATACAATGAATAAACAAACAAACAAACAAACCCATCTCTGCTGGATCCCCCAGAGCTCTGTGAAAACCATCTCTATAAAGAATAATAATAATAATAATAATAATAATAATAATAATATTTATACCCCACCCATCTGGCTGGGCCTCCCCAGCCACTCTGGGTGGCTTCCAACAAAATATTAAAATACAGTAATGCAGCAAACATTAAAAACTTCCCTAAACAGACAGTATCCCCCTAACTCCACCCCGACGCACCCCTTGAAAATTGCCAATGGTCTTGCTGAAGCACCTGGCAGTTTTTCTACCTGCTGTAGCAATTGTGTGTGTGTGTGCTCTGCTAGGTGCTGTGCGACTTTTCACCGCCTTGTTTTCTAACACACGCGCTGCAGGCCACCCAGACGAAACCTGCGGACCACAGTTTGGGAACCTCTGGTGTCGATTTCCCCCCCAGCTCCCGATCTACAGGCCAAGGGCAACCAGCCTGAAGCACGGCTGGTGGAGTCAGAAGGAAGAACGCCGTGGCCTTGAGCTCAGGTCCTTAACTGCTGTGGCGGAATAATGATGAACCCCCACACACTCTGCCCTCTTTCCCTGAGAGCTCCTATCCCCCTCGCCATACGTTCGTCGCTTCGGGTGCAGAGTTCTGCTCCCTTCCGTACCTCTATGACATCCTGCTTGGCCTTCTTGATGGTGTTCTGAATGTCTTGGTAGGTCTTGGCATCAGCGATGGAGTCCCCGATCCCAATGGTGTGGCCTGCCAAAGAGGGGGAGAAGAGGCTCAACACCAGAAAGGGAGAACAAGAAAGCCGGCGTGGCCTAGCGGTTAGCGTCGGGCTACAGCCTGGGAGACGAGGGTTCAAATCCCTGCAAGGCCATGAAGCTCACAGGGCGACTCACAGCCTAACCTACCTGACAGGGCTGTGGGGATTAAATGAGGGAGGAGTACCAAGTAGGCCACTGTGAGGCCCTCAGAGAAACAGAGAGGTTATATGGGCAATAAATCAGGGGTTCCCAAACTCGGGCCTTCATCTGCTCTTGAACTACAATTCCCACCATCCCTAGTTAGCAGGACCAGCGGTCAGGGATGATGGGAATTGTAGTCCAAAATCAACTTGAGAAATGATGCATAGTGGTGTGTGGCTTTGGAGTTGCAACAAAGTAAATACAGTGGTACCTTGGTTTACAACAATAATCCATTCTGGAGGCCTGTATATAATAATAATAATAATAATAATAATAATAATAATATATGATGAATACCCTGCCCATCTGGCTGAGTTTCCCCAGCCACTCTGGGCGGCTCCCAATCAAGTGTTAAAAACAATACAGCATTAAATATTAAAAGCTTCCCTAAACAGGGCTGCCTTCAGATGTCTTTTAAAGAGAAGATAGCTGCTTATTTCCTTCACATCTGACGGGAGGGCGTTCCACAGGGAGGGGGCCACCACCGAGAAGGCCCTCTGTCTGGTTCCCTGCAACCTCACTTCTCGCAGGGAGGGAACCACCAAAAGGCCCTCGGAGCTGGACCTCAGTGTCCGGGCAGAACGATGGGGGTGGAGACGCTCCTTCAGGTCTACTGGGCCTTTGAGGCCGTTTAGGGCTTTCAAGGTCAGCACCAACACTTTGAATTGTGCTCGGAAACGTACTGGGACAGGTTGTAACCCAAGGCGCACTTTCGCCAATGGGGCCTCCAAAAAGAATTTGGCTGTAATCCAAAAAAAAGTTTGCAAACTGGGACACATGCACTTCCGGGTTTGACGTGTTTGTAATCCAAAACATATGCAAACCAGGCTGTTTGCAAACCAAGGTACCGATGTAATGGCAACACAGGGAACCAGTTCGTGCCTAACTGGGGAGGCCCAAGGTGGGTCTAGTCGAGCAAGTACAGTGGCACCTCGGGTTAAGTACTTAATTCATTCCGGAGGTCCATTCTTAACCTGAAACTGTTCTTAATCTGAAGCACCACTTTAGCGAATGGGGCCTCCTGCTGCCGCTGCGCCGCCGGAGCACAATTTCTGTTCTCATCCTGAAGCAAAGTTCTTAACCCGAGGTACTATTTCTGGGTTGGCGGAGGCTGTAACCTGAAGCGTATGTAACCCAAGGTACCACTGTAAAGAGTTAAATCAGAACCCCAATGCTGCAACTGCCAGACTCCTCTGGAGGAAGAAGAAACCATGGGGGGGGGGGAGACACCCCCCACCAAAACAGACCAAGTTGCACCGTCAAGCTCACCTTCAATCAGAAGCCAGTTGTTGATAACCGTCTGGATGTTGCTGTAAAAGAGGCGGGTGACGTCGTGGCCCATCTCCAGGTAGGAGATGTGGACCAGGGAGCCGGCAGAGGTGCCCAGCGACTTCTTGCAGAGGATGCCCATGATCAGCTCCCCGTTCTCCACGATGACCTGAGGAAGAGAGGGGAAAGGAGAGCGACAGAGGAGCGTGAGGCTGGTGGGGACGGCTAGCAAATCTGGCCACAGGCAGGAAACTAGGGAAGCTTGGCTGTAGAGACCGGTATATATGTGTATGTGTGTGTGTGTGGTGTGTGTGTCTGCTGCAGCTTTGCATCTCCATCCACCAGCCTGGCACCCTTTGAGCCGTGCAATTTTGACTTGCAGCAGTGGGATCTTCTGCTTTGCTCAGTGTGTTGCTCTACAAACGTTCCATCCTCTACCTCCTCCCTTCTTGTCTCTGTTAGTTCCAGCTAGTGTAAGAGGGGAACTGAGGATCAGGTGGGGAGGTTTTAGGTCTCCACCCCCATCATTCTGCCCAGACGCTGAGGTCCAGCTCCGAGGGCCTCATGGCGGTTCCCTCCTTGCGAGAAACAAAGCTACAGGGAACCAGGCAGAGGGCCTTCTTGGTGGTGGCGCCCGCCCGGTGGAACACCCTCCCATCAGATGTCAAAGAGATAAACAACTACCTAACATTTAGAAGACATCTGAAGGCAGCATGTCCTAGGCCATAAAGATAGGAGGTAACTTTGATGTAGATTTTGTTAATCTTTAGGTAGATCTTAAGGGCCAGCAAGAGCGTTCACAAGGAGATGGTAAATGCTATCTATCCTTGCCATCCTTCCTTTCCTGCTTACTGCTTATGAACTCCGGGCTTTGCTAAATGCATTCCTCCTCGATTCCTGTTTTATTTACCCTAAAAACATGTATGCATGCTCAAAGTAGTCTTTGCAGTTAAAAGGATTTCTCTGATCTAACTTTGTCCTACGTGGGGTTTGTTTTTTTTAATGCTCAGAGGACATCTGATTGGCCCTTACAAGTGCTGTGTTAAGAGTTCTTTTGTTAATAAAAGGGACCTGGGCCAGGGAGTAACAAATTATTATTCGCACTTCCTCCCAGAGTCTGGCTGGCCAAGCCTCGTGTGTATTAATCAGGGTCTGATCCTTCCTTGGCCTTTGGAACGCACCAGGCCAGGCTGGTGAAGAAGAAGAGGTGGAAGAGTTTTGGATTTGATATCCCGCTTTATCACTACCCGAAGGAGTCTCAAAGCGGCTAACATTCTCCTTTCCCTTCCTCCCCCACAACAAACACTCTGCAAGGTGAGTGGGGCTGAGAGACTTCAGAGAAGTGTGACTGGCCCAAGGTCACCCAGCAGCTGCAGGTGGAGGAGCGGGGAATCGAACCCGGTTCCCCAGATTACGAGTCCACTGCTCTTAACCACTACACCACACTGGTGATGTCTGCCTTCCCCCTGCCCCACCAACAGTACCTTGGTGTCTCCGGGAGAGATGTGCTTATAGGGCCCGCTGTCCTCATCGTCCGGGTGGGTGCTGTGCGTACGGATGCAGTTAATGTGTCCTGGGATGATGAGAGAGAAGATCTGCTTCCCGGTCCAGAGCGGGCGAGGCTTGAGGATGGCCGGCTGGGGCACTTTGCCGTCCCAGGTGGAGAGGAACATCAACAGGTTCATCACCTCGCCCTGAAGGGGAGATCAGGAGAAGGGAAGCGGAGTGGTTATTGCCTGGGCTTTCCCCCATGAAAAGGGAAGATTTCACGCTTAGAACCCGACGTCTCCCTCCCCAAAACCACCAAGCCTTACTAAAGCAGGACTTGCTACAAGTACAGGAAAAGGGGAGAGCGAAATTGCCCCCCTTTGTGCAGAAAAATCTGATAAAATATGGCATGGTTCTAGTTCCGACACTAAAACCCGCCGGAAGATTCAGGACAGGTCAAAATAAAACCCTGCTTTACACAGTGCAAAGTCAAACTATGGAACTCTCTGCCACAGGATGGCCAACTTGGATGGCTTTAAAATAGGATTAGACAAATTCACAGAGGAGAGGTTTATTGAGGACTGCTCTCCACCATCAGAGGCACCAATGCTTCTACAACAGCAGCAAGAGTATTGTTAGTCCAGCAACAGAAGCAAAAAGAAATTCCGACAAAAGAAGAATGGCAGCCGAAATTAATGGACTACGCAGAATTGGACAAAATGACAGGAAGGATTTGAAACCCGCGGGACCAGAGATTTACAGAAGATTGGAAGAAGTATATGAATTATTTGAAGAGCAACTGTAACCAACAAATTACGCAAGAAGTTTTGTAAGGAGAAATATACAAAACGTTACAAAGTAGAAAAAGAGATACTGGTTATGAGTTTGAAATGTAATAGGGAAAATAAGAAATGCATACTGAGAGATTAGATTGGAAAATTTTCAGACAGGATTGATGGAAGTCAAGAAAATTGAATAAGATGTAAAAGTATGTTTAATTACTGTTGAAAATGGTATGTTAAAAAACTAATAAAAATTATATTAAAAATGAAAGAGGCAGCGATGCTTCTGAAGGCCTGTTGCTGGAAACCACAGGAGGAGAAGGTGGTCTGCTGCTGGATTGGCTCTGAAGCCATGTGCAAGTAAGGTCCGTATAGTTAAAGCTCTGGTTTTCCCAGTAGTGATGTATGGAAGTGAGAGCTGGACCATCAAGAAGGCTGATGGCCGAAGAATGGATGCTTTTGAATTCTGGTGCTGGAGGAGACTCTTGAGAGTCCCATGGACTGCGAGAAGATCAAACCTCTCCATTCTGAAGGAAATCAGCCCTGAGTGCTCACTGGAAGGACAGATCCTGAAGCTGGGGCTCCAGTACTTTGGCCACCTCATGAGAAGAGAAGACTCCCTGGAAAAGACCCTGATGTTGGGAAAGATGGAGGGCACAAGGAGAAGGGGACGACGGAGGACGAGATGGTGGGACAGTGTTCTCAAAGCTACCAGCATGAGTTTGACCAAACTGCGGGAGGCAGTGGAAGACCGGAGTGCCTGGCTTGCTCTGGACCAGGGGGTCACAAAGAGGCGGACACGACTAAACAACTCAACAACAACAAGTAAGGCTGTCTTTGCAGAACCTGCCCTCACCCTCTCTAGGAAGACGTCTCTCTTGGTGAACTTGCGGACGGCCGTCAGGGTGTCCTGCACGATGCCCATGACGGGCCTGTTGGACTGAGGCGTGACAATCATACGGGGCACCATGGCCAGCTCTTGGATCTCGGCCCGCGTCTCCAGGGACTGGGGGAGGTGCAGGTTCATCTCGTCGCCGTCAAAGTCGGCATTGTACGGGGTGGTCACACTGGTGGAGAGGAAGAGAGAGAGGGAGATTGAGAACAACGGAGGGCAGCGCTCAGGCCGAGTGCCAGGAAGGAAACTGTACAAATACCTGCCTGAGTTTGCAGAGAGGGAAAACCAGGGATGGGGAGCAGCTGGGTCAGGCGGTCTTGGAATCATAGCTATCAACGTTTTCCCTTTTTTAAGGGAAATTCCCTTGTTCCGAATAGGATTCCTCGCAAGGAAAGGGGAAAGTTGACAGCGATGCTTGGAATTGAGGTTGAATCCTGACAAGACGGAAGTACTGTTTTGGGGGGACAGGGGGTGGGCAGGTGTGGGGGACTCCCTGGTCCTGAATGGGGCAACTGTGCCCCTGAAGGACCAGGTGTGCAGCCTGGGAGTCATTCTGGACTCACAGCTGTCCATGGAGGCGCAGGTCAATTCTGTGTCCAGGGCAGCTGTCTATCGGCTCCATCTGGTACGCAGGATGAGACCCTCCCTGCCCGCAGACTGCCTCACCAGAGTGGTGCATGCTCTGGTTATCTCCTGCTTGGACTACTGCAATGCGCTCTATGTGGGGCTACCTTGTGACCCGGAAACTACAATTAATCCAGAATGCGGCAGCTAGACTGGTGACCGGGAGCGGCCGCCGAGACCACATAAAGACCTACACTGGCTCCCAGTACGTTTCCAAACACAATTCAAAGTGTTGGTGCTGACCTTGAAAGCCCTAAACAGCCTCGGTCTAGTATACCTGAAGGAGCGTCTCCACCCCCATCATTCTGCCTGGACACTGAGGTCCAACGCCAAGGGCCTTCTGGCGGTTCCCTCCCTGCGAGAAGCCAAGTTACAGGGAACCAGGCAGAGGGCCTTCTCGGTAGTGGCGCCCGCCCTGTGGAACGCCCTCCCAGCAGATGTCAAAGAGAACAACAACTACCAAACTTTTAGAAGACATCTGAAGGCAGCCCTGTTTAGGGAAGCTTTTAAAGTTTAATAGGTTATTGTATTTTAGTGTTTTGTTGGAAGCCGCCCAGAGTGGCTGGGGGGACCCAGCCAGATGGGCGGGATATAAATAATAAATTATTATTATTATTATTATCGCTTTCCAAAAAAAAATACATTATTATTATTATCATCTTCATCATCATCCCTTTCCATAAAGCAAGTTGAACCTTTCCCCCCTTTTTTCAAGCCTGCCCCTTATCCACGCACTCAGTGACACACGCACAGAGAACCGCGCCTTCTCCCCCACCTGAGATTGAGGCGAAAGGTGGACCACGGCAGGATGCGGACCCTGTGCCCCATCATGGACATCTTGTGCAGCGTCGGCTGCCGATTGAAAATGACGATGTCGCCGTCGCACATGTGCCGTTCTACCTGGAAGGGGAGATCAAGCAGGAGACCTGCTGGTTTGCCGCCTCGAAGGATGGGCAGGAAGATTGGAGGGAGCCAGGGGGGAGGAAGACTGCAAAGTGCACATGGAATCTTCCGCAGACAAACTTATTCAAGTATTGAATCCGCATCAGCGCGAACTCTGAAAACTTTTGTCATTTGCACAGATGCACGTTGGTATCGCACGAGGAAGCACCAGGGAAATAGGACACAACCCAACTTCAAGAAGCCTGCATATTTATTAAATAGCAACACCCTAGTGGTCCCGGGCCCTAAGGAAGTCAGATTAGCTTCAACCAGAAGCAGGGCCTTTTCAACACTGGCCCCGGCCTGGTGGAACGCTCTGCCTCATGAGACCAGGGCCCTGCAGGATCTGATTTCTTTCCACAGGGCCTGTAAGACAGAGTTGTTCCGCCTGGCCTTTGGCTTGGAGCCAATTTGATTCCCTTTTTTTTTTCTTTTCCTTCTCCTCCTGCGAGGAGGCTACATTTTAATGTTTCAATATTTTAACGTTGTATTTTAATTTTGTTTTTAAGTTGTAGTCATTCAACTTGTTTTTATTATTGCTTGTAAGCCGCTCTGAGCCCGGCCTTGGCTGGGGAGGGTGGGGTATAAATAAAAATTATTATTATTATTATTATTATTATTATTATAAAATGGAGCGAAGGGGAAATATTTTTTCAGACCAAGGGCCATATTCCTTTCTGGGGAAACTCCCAGGGGCCACATGCCAGGGGCAGGCAGGGCCAGAGAAAAGCTGGCAAAGCAACAAATTTAAGTATTTACCTTTTTAGGCTATGCTAGTTTCTATGCTCACTCACTGATCCCTCTTTATCCTCTCTCCAGGAAAGAAAGAGGCATTATCAGAGCTCAAGGGCACCAGCCCAGCAAGGCAAAAAGACCCAAGAAGCATGAGAGGGAAGGTCAGTGACAGGGGTGGCCTGTGCAGAGTCCCGAGTGCGAGACACCCGAATGCCCGCTCTGCTTGCTGCAGTGATTTCTAGCTTACTACGTAATAATGTTAATCAAAGCCTGGATTCTGGAGCAGGTCAAGGGCCACCCAAGCTGAGCAGTCTGTTCTCACAGTATCCAACCAATGCCTATTAATAAAACAACAACAACAATTTGCATTCCGCCTTTGATATGTAGACCCCGGGGTGCAAACCTGAATAAAATATTGGGAGGGCCCAGGTAAGCCCCACCCTGCATAACTGATCACAGCACCATTTGAATGACAATGCCTATCATCTTTTTTGGGGGGGCCTGGCCCCCTCAAATATTTTATTGGGGGAGGGGCCGAAGGAATGTCAGCTCCTGGGAGTTGGCTACTATGCGTGGACCGCAGGGTGGTTTGCAAAACATAAAAATACAATATCAGATGTGAAAGAGATAAACAACTACCTGACATTTAGAAGACATCTGAAGGCAGCCCTGTTCAGGGAAGTTTTTAATGTGTGACATTTTAATGTATTTTTAATTTTTGTTGGAAGCTGCCCAGATTGGCTGGGGAGACCCAGCCAGATGGGTGGGGTACAAAAATAAAATAAAATAAAATAAACTAATAAAATAATATTATAAAAAACACAACGTTCATAATGAAAAAGGTAACAAAAACCAATAACCCCCCTCCCATTTAAAAGGGCATCGGATGTTAATCAGCCAAAGGTCTGGTTGAAAAGGGATGTTTTTGCCAGGCGCTTAATGTTAATTAAGTCACCAGATGAGCCTCCCTGGGGGGCAGCATTATCTTACCCGGCCTGCCCCACGTGGGAAGGTTTGCAAAGAGCGATACGTCCCCAAAACCTTTGGTCTCTCTCTCCCCCTCTGGCACTTCCCAACTGTCCCATTTGCTGGAATTTGTCCAACTTTAAAGGAATGCTTGGTGTGGTCACTTACAAAAAAGGCCACTGGAGTCTATTGGAATGGAAGGGGCTACAAGACCTGAAGCTCACACAAGGCCTTTCTTTTAATGCTAGCAGATGAATCAAAGAATTGTAGGGTTCTGCTGGCGGAACAAGCAAGGCACAGGTAAGGTAAAGGGACCCCTGACTGTTAGGTCCAGTCGTGGCCGACTCTGGGGTTGCGACGCTCATCTCGCTTTACTGGCCGAGGGAGCCGGCGTACAGCTTCCGGGTCATGTGGCCAGCAGGACTAAGCCGCTTCTGGCGAAACCAGAGCAGCACACGGAAACGCCGTTTACCTTCCCGCCGGAGCGGTACCTATTGATCTACTTGCACTTTGATGTGCTTCCGAACTGCTAGGTTGGCAGGAGCAGGGACCGAGCAACGGGAGCTCACCCCGTTGCAGGGATTCGAACCGCCGACCTTCTGATCGGCAAGTCCTAGGCTCTGTGGTTTAACCCACAGCGCCACCTGCGTCCCGGAACAAGCAAGAGGGCTCCCCAAATCCTTCTTTGGTCCAGCACCACTGTGAGCTTACTCCGGGGTGGAAAGGGGCTGTGATTCTCCTACCCAACTTTGTGCCCTGTCCCGCCCCCAGCGGAACTGACCTTGTACCCTATCTGCAGGTGGAGGTCGCTGGGCTTTGGGTGGAAGCGGAGGTCAATCCGGTCGCCGTTGTCCCGAATAATGTATTTGGCTCCGGGGTACTGGCTGTTCCCTCTGCGCACCAGCTCCTGCAGCCTAGCGGAGGCGGAGAGGGGTTAGCCGGCATTCGGGGCGCGAGGCACCTGAGCACACCAGACGCGGGGTGGGATGGGGAAAGGGGGCTCACCTGTCAATGTTGAAGGGCGTCACTATCTCGGCGAAGGTCATGTTGGCCGCGATGGAGCGAGGCACGCCCACCTGGTCGATGGAGAGGTTGGGGTCCGGGGTGATGACCGTCCGGGCCGAAAAGTCCACTCGCTTGCCCATCAGGTTCCCTCGCACGCGCCCCTCTTTCCCCTTCAGCCTCTGCTTCAGGGACTTCAGAGGCCTCCCCGATTTCTGCATGGCCTGGAAATCAAGAGGTTGGAGGAAGCAAAGCATTACTCTCTTGCAAAAGCTGGTGTGGAACATGAAAGTGCAAAGAATGGCTTGCTTTTGCCTGTGGAGCAAGGAGGAGCGTCCTATTCTGGACACTGGTCCTCCCACTGACTGGGAACCGCTCTTAAGACTTCTAGGTAAGGGAAATAGGTCAACTTTCTAATCTAATTCAAGGCAGGACAATCCGATGGATTAAGAGCCGAGTGAAATTCTGCTATCCTGTCCAATAGAAACATGATTTTACGTTTCTCTGTGTATCAATATCTCTCCTAGTCCATTCAATGTGTTTTTGTGTCTCAGGAGACAATGGAAGAGTTATGCCTTTAGGGGTGAAGACAAACTTTTGGAGAGTTACAGCGCTGCTGAGCTACAACTCCATGCCGACAGGGGCTGATGGGAACTGTAGTCCACGTGGGCTATCCCTGGCTTATGCGCTACATATATTCCACGTCAACCACCATCAACCGGGCTGCCCTCCAGCTGCTTTGGACAACAACTCCCAACAGCCACACTCAGCACAACTGTGCCGTCGGCAGGGGCTGATGGGAGTTGTAGTCCGGAGCACTAGGAGGGCAGCCAATCAGGTGAAGACTGCTCTAACGGAGCCTATTTGCTTCTAATGAAATGTGAATCAATAACAACCACCAAACTGAGACAACTTTTGGGTTCCCACTCCCCATTTCTGTCCAAACCGCAGAAGGGGGGGGGCAGAAAGTCTCCTGTAATCAGAATGAACGTAAATATTGCTCCAGACCAGCAGACCTGGGGAGGCCTCCGCCAAAAGAAGCTTAACTGCCTGCACTCACCAAGATGGGTTTGCCTGTGGAGGGAAGTGTCGCAGCCACCTACGGCTCACTGACTCCTCTGTGAAAGAGGGGCAGCTGCAGATTTCTACCCTGCTAGGGGCAGGCAGAGGCCCCCTAAGCACTTACGCGGGGCAGCCCAGGCAGCTCGTTGTCCACCATGGTGGCCACGTGGAACTGCAGCAGCTTGACGTCTTCGGCGATGACGTGGGCGGCTGCTCCGTTCTGCTCGTTCCTCCGCAGCTGGTTGTTGATCTTCACAATGTCAGCCAGCTTGTGAGTCAAGTCGTCCTGAGTGGGGAGAGGAAGGAAACAGCCCGTCAGGGCAGACAAAATCAGCCTGCCTGGACCCCGCAATCCTCACCGGAGGCACTTCTTCGCGTGCTCCCTCCACAGGAAGTCTGGAGGGTGGCCACACAACAGCAGGCCTTTTCAGTGGTGGCTCCCTGCTTATTGAGCACCCTCCCCAGGGAGGCTCACCTGGCATGATCATTACGTATCTGCAGGTGCCCGGCAAAAATATTTCTTTGTGCTAAGCCTTTGGTTTTCATATGCGGTCTCTTATAAGTGAGCTGGATGTTTTAATCCAGCTTTTTAAACAATAGAATTGCCTTTTTATTTTCTTTCCCCCCGTTTTAATAAATCTGGCTGTTCTTGTTTGCTTAACATTTCACATTGCTTAAGAGCTACTTTGTTAAAAAAAAAGTAACTAATAATTGGCAAAGACGAAAGCAGAAGGAAGTTGGCCCTTTGGAATGTTCTTGTTGCGAACCACAGGCTAATTGTCATTTGAATGGCTTCATATAACATATGAAAACAGAACCCTGCAGGATCAGGCCAATGGCCTATCTAGTCCAGCATCCTGTTCTTACAATTGCCAACCAGATGCCTGTGGAAGACCTGCATGCAGGATTTGAGCACAGGAACCCTCTCCCGCTGTGGTTTCCAGCAAGCAGCATTCAGAAGAATTACTGCAGTTTTCCCCAAACTTAGGTCCCCAGCTATTCCTGGACTACAAGTACCCTTAAGTCTAGCTAGCGGGACCAGTCATCAGGGATGATGGGAGCAAGAGCTGAGGACCCAAAGTTTGGGAAACGCTGCATTTCTGGCGGCGTGACTTTTGAGTTGGAACGAGGCTTGCTCTCCGCCCCCGCCCCCCCTAAGTCCACCCTTGGCCCATACCTGATTCCTGGCAGAGCCCTGCATGACGACAGCGGGGCGGACAGACAACGGCGGGACCGGGAGCACCGTGCAGATCATCCACTCAGGCCTGGCGAACTTGGGGTCCATGCCCAAGATGAAGCACTCCTCGTCCGAGATGCGCTTGAAGATCTCGTGCACCCGCTCCGGGCTCAGCAGGATCTTCTTCTCCTGAGAGTCCTCGTTCACATGCTTCCACTCGGCGTAGAGCTCCAGGCCCGAGCGCCGGATCCTCGGCTGGTAGCGCCCGCAGCCGCCGTGACCCTGGATAAAGAGGCAGCAACGAGGCAAGGCTGTCAGGTCAATCAGGGGTCCCCTGCAACTGCCGTAAGCCTAGGGCAGTATTTCTCAAAACTGGGTCTCCTGCTGTTGTCGGACCAGAGCTCCCGTCATCCCTGGCTAGCAGGACTAGTGGTCAGGGGTGCTGGGAGCTGTAGTGCAACAACAGCAGGAGACCCACTGCCCTAGTGGCACATTTGAAACTCTTAAGGAACCGTCGGAGGTGGTCCGTTCCAACTCTACAATTCTGGGATTCTATGATCTGGGAGAGCGTCCACAATGGTCCAGAAGGCAGAGAAGAAAAGCGAGTGTTAAGATAACACGCAACATCTTACAAGCTCAACCAACCAAAGTGTTGGTGCTGACCTTTAAGGCCCTAAACGGCCTCGGTCCAGTATACCTGGAGGAGCGTCTCCACCCCCATCTTCAGCCCGGACACTGAGGTCCAGCACCGAGGGCCTTCTGGCGGTTCCCTCACTGTGAGAAGTCAGGTTACAGGGAACTAGGCAGAGGGCCTTCTCGGTAGTGGCGCCCGCCCTGTGGAACGCCCTCCCACCAAATGTCAAAGAGAACAACAACTACCAGACTTTTAGAAGACATCTGAAGGCAGCCCTGTTGGGGGGGCCACTAGGGGCGCACCAGAAGATGGCTGACAATAACATCTCTCCAACCCACACGAGGTAATTTGGAGGCTGTGATGGGAATAAATAGCCTCCCTACCCCCCCAGGATTGTGGGGGGGGGACTGCCCTTGCCTGCTGTGCCCTATACCACCCCCGAATTTGTGGGGATGGGGGCACTAGGCACAATGCCCTCCGGTGGGATTTCGGCGCTCCTGGACGCCGTCTCTGATCCGCGCCACTAGCTGCAAGAACTTCAAAAGAAACAATTTGGATGAAGCGAATGCACATATTTCAAGGGAGGAGGAGGAGTAAAGACTGCTAACAGAAGAGATCTCTGATAAAACAAATCGAGTCAGAGGAACAAGTATAAATCATGAGAAGATACGCCAAGACTCGGTATGGCAAAGGGACTGATGGGGGAGGGGGAAAAAACTTTCCTTTCTTTCCTTTATGTGATTAAACAAGAATCCCCCCCCTCACAAGTCAGAAATGTCGTTTTAAGGACTTAAGCTGTGGATTTAAGGCTGTGTGGAGATAAACTTTCGAACCAAAGCATGTTTTGAGAAGAGCGTGGAATGTATAAGGGCTTTGGAATGACGCAGTTAAAAGTGCCGTCGCCATATTGGGAAGTTCTGTCGGAGGACTTAAGTCTGGGAGGAGAAATAGAGCTGTTTTTATATTGTGGGTGAAACTCCTCAGAGGGACTTAAGAACGACAGTTCTGTAATTAAAGATGGAAAGAGCGATGTTATCTATGAAGGCGATGATATATGGAAACCATCTCGATTTGAGGATTGGAAGAACGGAAAAATTCACACAGGATTATTATTGGTGTTTATCGGCTTAAGGAGACTATCAGAAGAGATCATAAAGAAAAAAGAGAAAATATATGAACAAGATGTGATGTGGAAACAGCAAGATAAGACTGGATAGAATTATGAACTTTGTTTGGACTGATTTGGACATTAACGCAGTAGCAAGATGATGATCAGAATCCCCCTTCGGATCTTGAAATATGGGTCCCCTCAACAAAATTTAAAATTCGGCTTTGTAATTCGGAATTTATGTGATGTGATTTGATTTGATTTGATTGGCCGGTTAATAAAATTTATAAAAAAAAAAAAGAAGGCAGCCCTGTTTAGGGAATCTTTTAATGTTTGATGTATTACAGTATTTTAATATTTCTTTGGAAGCCGCCCAGAGTGGCTGGGGAAGCCCAGCCAGATGGGCGGGGTATAAATAATAAATTATTATTATTATTATTATAACCCCAGTGGGCTTGCGCAGCCGATTTGCGGTCCTGACCTTTTCCTTCGTGATGTCCTCGTCGCCTTCGGTCTGCTCAACTCCAAACTTGTTGTCCATCTCCTCCCCGCCTTCGCAGATGTTCTTGCCTTTGCAAAGGTCGTAGACGTGGGTCAAACGCTTCTTCGGTTGCCCTTTGGATTTAGCCAGGATGTCTTTGATCTTCGGGTTGTTCTGCGGCAAAAAGAAGAATGGGGCGTTCCCCCCAAATAATCAAGGGTGTGATCAACCGTGCCAGATTTTGGGTTCTTTTGAATGACCGCCCCACCCCAACATCCTCAATACTACGGGGTAATAGAAAAAGCCATTTTACACCTAGTGCAATTGTAAACGGGATTATAACTCCCCTTATCCACGACTACCAGCAAATGTGAGAATATCCCAATATTCGCCATAGCTCTTGGGAAGTAGGCCTCACATCAGAGGGGTCATGGGCAGGCTGGGAAGGGATGCAACGGGCCTTTCTTGCTGCAATGACAAGAACACTCCACAGATACCAGTATTCTGTTCTCTTAGGATGAATCCATATTATTCTGCCTTCCTGAGCGGTTCAATGTGGGAGGTTCGTACACCCAAAGTGTTTGGAGTCAGAATAGGGGGAAACAGAAGACCTTTGAACTCAAGCTGAACAAAGGGAAGGGGAGGGCTGACACAAACAGGGCCTTCTTGGGAGTGGCACCTATTCACCTTGTGCCATAATGGCTCATTTTTCAGAACTAGGTAAAACATGTTTTTATTTCCCCTATTTCTGGTTCTCAGTGGCTACTAACACTGATTATTTCAAGTAACCCTTAAGATTTCTGTAGCTGATGGAACTGTTTTTTGAGTTGTAGGTTGGCGCTGTGGGGCAGCTTAAGAATTATATACTGAAAGGTGAGATTAAAAACAAAAATGGATGATTGCCCACAAAGAAGCCACACAAGGCTTCACTAAGAGCAGAATGTAGAGTTAGAATGAAAATATATTGGTCAACCCTAAGGCTTGTCAGCATGCACTCACCTGGTCACCTGTGGCAAGTAACCAAGAGCCAACAAGACAGGAAATTGTGGACAGAAAATTAGATTATTTCGTTTCTTTGAAAAGCCACAGGGCAGCACAGCCAGGAAAACTGGACAAAGCATTCCCAGTGTGGTCTGACCAAGGCAGAATAGAGTGGGACTATTACAGTGGTACCTCGGGTTAAGTACTTAATTTGTTCCGTAGGTCTGTTCTTAACCTGAAACTGTTCTTAAACTGAAGCACCACTTTAGCTAATGGGGCCTTCTGCTGCCGCTGGAGCACGATTTCTGTTCTCATCCTGAAGCAAAGTTCTTAACCCGAGGTACTATTTCTGGGTTAGGGGAGTCTGTAACCTGAAACGTATGTAACCTGAAGCGTATGTAACCCGAGGTACCACTGTAGTAGCTAATGTCGCAGAAGGCAGAATCAGGATTCAAAATGACCTTTTGACAGATTGGAGAACTGCGCCCAAAGTAACAAAATGAATTTCAATTGGAAACATTGGAATTGAGCATCCCCTCAATTCCTTCATAATTTATATTGATGTTGAACAACAATGGGCCCAGGACAGAACCCTGCAACACCACACTTGTCACTCCCCCCCCCCCCGATGACCAGGAACCATAAATGAGTACACTTTGGGTTCGGTCAGCCAACCAACTACAAATCCACATAACAGTTCCTTCGTCCAGCCCACGTTTCACCAGCTTCTTTTTGAGAATATCACGGGGGGACTTAGTGAAAAGCCATGCTGTTTTCGGCTATTCACTGATCTGAGCTTGTTTCTAAGAATGTCCAGTAGCTCCAGCCATTACTCACAGAGTCAACCAGCAGCTTGGAGCAGAAAAAGCAGACGCAACGGAGAACCTTCATCGTCTTGCCCAAGAAGCCGACGTGGAAGACAGGCTTGGCCAGCTCAATGTGTCCGAAATGGCCGGGGCATTCTGTCATGTTGCCTGCCGGAGAACAGAAGGACGGGGAAATCATGAGCCCCTCCGACTCCCGGATTCTGAGACTGGCCCCCTCATCCCCTTCCCAAGAACCAGTTTTCCTAGTGAGGCCCCAGCATAGTCTCCCCCAGCCTGGTACTGTGGGGCTGGGGCTGCCGGGAGTTGTAGTACAAAGCGCCTGGCGCGCACTGCCCTAAGAACTCACCTGCACAGGTCTGGCACCGTCCTGTCCTTTCAATGACACCCTGTCGAGGGTCCATCAGGCCACCCAGCTTGGGGCGACCCCCTTCTGTTGTCTCAGGGTATTTGATCCCCCCTTCCGTCACCGACATCCGTTTCTAGAAGGAAAAAAAGAAAGCAGAATCAGTATCAGCCAAGTCTTCAGGGTGTGGGGAAGGCAGACGTCAAGAATGGGGACCCAAACAGCAACAGAAGCCCTAGAAGAAGAAGAAAAGAAATGATATCTAGGTTGGGAGATACAAGGAACAGAAGCGCAAAGGGCGTTTTATTATTATTATGTCACGTCCCTAATGGTCCTCTAAAAACCATTACTAGGAAAACAAAGCGTTTTTAAGTGAGTGAAGACTATCAGGAGGATACCTTCCATTCAGGAGAGAATTTACTGCGGGGATAAAACAGCTTCACAAACTTTACAGCCCGCCCTAGCTCTCCACATCAACAAGATTACAGGCAAAAATGAAAGACGGCAGCGAAGCTCTACTACGTACAGCAAAACCCATTTCATCGATTTTCTCTCCCCACACAGAAGGAGCTTTCTGGGATTTTAATGGGAGACAAGCAACAAATGCTACTTAAAACGCAGGATCTGTGAGCAAGTTTTAAGGAGAGTGAGGCTAAGGCCAGCTCAACCGAAACTTACTTGCTGTGTGTTTTATATGGAAACAAATAAAAACTGCAAAGTTCTTTCAAAATGCAGTTTTGGAGTCAGTGGAGCAAATGTGTGCATGCCTGTAACAGTCTTCAGCATAAAGATGCCAACATGGACTGTGCTGCCACTCCTTTGAAAACAAATTGGTATCTTTTGCTAAAAGGCGGCATAAAAATCAAATTAATAATACGAGTCCCAGCAGCAAAATTAGTCAATTATTAAGAAAAAAACGATAAGGAAATCCACTTAGGTACCCCGGGGGGGGGGGGGTCCAAGGAACAGAGTTTTGTGGCACTTTTAACATCTGCAAACTGGTGGGGAAATTTGTCTTGCAGGAGCGAGCACGCTTCTGGCTGTCTTCTTGCAAACCAACATTTTTTGGGGGGGTAGGGGGAGAGAACACTGTGCCCCCCCAGGAAGGTGCAATCGATCTCCCTTTCTCCCACAGGAAAGCCAAGCACACCCGCCTTTTTTTCCTTCTTTATTTCAGCATTGCCCTTCCAAAATCCCAATGCGATAAAAAGCCTGGAGAAAGTTCTTCGAAAGACCCCACCGCCCACCCGCCACTCTTATTTTTCGCACCACCACCACACCTTCTTTAAATCATAAAGAAAAAGATATAAAAAGAGAGCGGCGCGCGAACCCACCATCTCATCCGGGCTCAGGATGCCGAATTGCACGCGCTTGATGGTGCGCAGCGGGCACGCGCTGTCCCCGGACGGCGCTCCCCCGTGCATCTTTGCACACTTTTTTTTTTCCGCCTCTCTCCGCCTTTTGGGGTGTCACGTGACGCAGACGCGGCGCCGCCTCCGCCTCAGCCAGGAAGCAGCCGCGGCCCCTCCCCCACACGCTCCGGTTTCCACCGAGGCCTACCGAGCTCGCCGCGGGTTCAGGGACTGGGTCTCCCTCGCCGCCCCGCGGACCGCGAGTCGGGGAGGTGGCGGCAGACTCAGCCGCGTCCCCCAACTCCGCCCCACCCGCGCGCGCGCGCGCCCTCGCGACCACGTCCGGCCGCCTATCCCCTTCCCTCCCTTCTTCTCCCTCCGCGCTCTAAAGCGCGACTGAGCCAGCAGGCTCTCCGGCGCCGCCTTATATAGACTCTCCCCCCTGCACGGGGCTACAAGAGCAGAACGGCAAGGGCGAGGACGCGGAAGTGGGCGGCGCCGCGGCCTGCGTCCCCCTCCGAGCGGAGGAGAGACGGAAGGGGGCGTGGCTAGAGCGAAGGGGTTGGGAGAAGAGAAAAGCGGGCAGGGAGGCGCCGCATTCGGTGGGGGTGCGGCCATACCAATTGAGTAAAAGGGGGGGAGAGAAAGAGATAAAAGGCGTTGGGTGAATTGTCTGGCTGTTCGCCTTTGGCAAATCGATAGATCGCCTGTTTTTAGTTTGTGCATCTCGAGGCCTTACGTGTTTCCCCCGGGAGGGCCATTTGGTTTCAATGGGGATTGTTCCCGAGTAAAACGAGTAAAACGAGCAGAGACATCACCTTGCCAACAAAGGTCCGTATAGTTTTCCCAGTAGTGATGTATGGAAGTGAGAGCTGGACCATAAAGAAGGCTGATCGCTGAAGAATGGATGCTTTTGAATTCTGGTGCTGGAGGAGACTCTGGAGAGGCCCATGGACTGCAAGAAGATCAAACCTCTCCATTCTGAAGGAAACCAGCCCTGAGTGCTCACTGGAAGGACAGATCCTGAAGCTGAAGCTCCAAGCCTTTGGCCACCTCCTGAGAAGAGAAGACTCCCTGGAAAAGACCCTGATGTTGGGAAAGATGGAGGGCCCAAGAAGGGGACGACGGAGGACGAGATGGTGGGACAGTGTCCTCGAAGGGACCAGCATGAGTTTGACCAAACTGCGGGAGGCAGTGGAAGACAGGAGTGCCTGACGTGCTCTGGTCCAGGGGGTCACGAAGAGGCGGACACGACTAAACAACAACAACAAAAACGAGTTTAGGATGACAATCGGGGTCAAGGAAATGGGGGAAATTGAGGCTCGCCTCGACCAAAGTCAATCAGAACTTGTTGCAAATGTCAGTGACAGCCGGATTTTGCACTCGAAGGAGGGTTCTGTTTCACACAGAAGCCTGTCACTCGTTAATGCTTTTTTGTTTCCGAAAATAAATGCAAAGCGTTTGCAAAACAAATAAAAGAGTAACCAGCTTTTTCCACAATTTTGAAACCTTACTGCTTCCAGCAGAGGTTTAAACTGGGAAATCTGGCCTTACTGAGTTAGAAAGCTTTGTATGCGCAACCTCATCCTTTGCATCTGAATTGATTTCAATGGGACATGCTCCTAAATCGCATTGCAAATTCGCAATATACGTTTTCTTGCCGAATTACTCTCTCCTCCTCCCCCTACTAATGGTTCGGTCTGCAAAGAGGGCGGAACCTCGCCCCAGTTCCGGCTGCTTTCGCGAGGGACTCCGCGTTCCTCATTGACTATTCATAAGCCCGGGAGGGAGGGAGAAATAAAAGAAGTGGGTGTGGTCATGTTCCGAAACTCGCCGAAAATGGCCGAAGGGGACCGAGGGTGGAGGAGCGGGGTTTCTCTCAGAGCCAGCTTTTGTCGAGAGCGAAGGGGAGGCGGATGGAACGCTCCGGGGAGTGGCCTTCAAAGCGCCGGGCTCGCGCATTTCGCTTGGCCGGGAGGCGGCGCCAGGCTGCCCCGCCGCTCTCCCTTGGAAAGCCCGCGGCTTCGGGGCCTACCTCCGGAACTGAGGCCTTCGTGGGGGAGGCACCTAAAGCAGACTTTGGGGGTACGGAAGGCTAGAACTGACGTCGATTACGGGGGCGGCGGGGTTAGGAACCCGGAATTTTTTTCCTGACTAGATGTTGGATGGGGGGGGTTTCATAGTTGGGGTCGTGGGATTGAGTGGGGGGCCTTTACTTACGGGGGGGGGCCTTTAGCGACATGGGGGGCGAGCCTGGCCCTTGGGGGGTCGGTGTGTGGTGGTGAATGGTTTAGATTCGGTGTGTAGGAGTGAAAAAGGGAAATAATTGACTGGACGTGTGGTTTTTTTGGGGGGGGTATTTGTGTTTTGGGGGGCCTTGGGAGAGCGAGGGGTGGATCTTTAATGTGTGTGGGGGGGTCAAATAAATGTTTAAAATCTAAAGTTTTTTATTGAGGGACGAAGGAGTATCTCTGGAGATACTTGTGGGGAGAGAATAGGGTGAGAAAATGAGAAAAATCGGGGGGGGAAGCCCTGGAGGAATATTGGGGGGGCAGGGAGGGGGAAAGCAAGGCAATTTCTCTGTGTCGGTGTCCAAGAAGACTTAAAAATTGGCATTTTGGACTGAGGAGAGTAAGAAGAATTCATTAGATTTCTGGACCTTTTTTTGGTGGGGGGTGGGTAGGTAGCAATATGGGAATTTGTGGTTTTTAATGGGGAAAATTACTTGGGCAGTGATGGGGAAGGGCTTATGTGTGGGTATTAAAAGAGTTCAGGTTCGCGGGGTTTTCGGTCTGGAAGCCAGCCAGCTTTTGGATGCTGCTGCTGCCGCCCCCCAAAAAAAATCAGGAGAAGGTGAGGTTTAATTGGTAGGGGAATGTACCTGTGGGTGGTGGTGCGAGAATGGCCTTTAAGTTTTTGTGGAGTTAAAAAGGCTCCCTTGAAAGTTCAGGGTGTGTCTTTTTTGGGGGAAGCCAGCTGCGTAAATGGGGATTTTGGAGACAAAAGCTGTGTGTGTAGGAAGCAGACTAAGAACTGCTTGGTGTTTTTGGTGCTGGGAGTGAGTGGAGGAGGGGATATTGGCTGAACATTTTGGATGGGAAGTAACACATCAAGTTTATTTGGATTTAAAAGATTATATTCCACCCTTCAGCAGAGCTGCCTGGGCAGGTTACAAAACTGATAAAATATCACATTGTTTTGGGGGTTTTTAATTACAAAAATACCAACAACAACCCCATACACATTCTGAAAGCCCGGAAGATTTAATAGCACCTTTTTGCATGGAACAGTGTTGGCAATAGATGAGACTCACTGAAGTAAATTCACTGAAAGGGCCATCGCTTCTGAGAAGGTGCTCTGTGGGCAACTGGAGGAGCGTGGAGATTACCTGAATGCACAGATAGGTTCGTAAAGGGGAGCAGGTTTTCCTTCAGGCACTTGGTTCCTACGCAGGTTTAGCTGAAAGAGTGATTGGTTGTTTACAGAACTGAGAAAACACTTCACATTGTCTGTTATTGGTAAACCTTTATAATCCTAGCTGATCTTCTGGAACACGTCTGGGTTTGGAGGGGGGTGGGGAAGGAACTTGTGGATAACATACTGAGAATCAAAAGAAGTGGGTTGGTGTTGATATTGGAATTAAATATCTGGAGAGCAGAGAGACCCCAGAGGGAAGGAAGTAAAAGACAGGAAGGGAGATCTATGGTTGTGTAACTCGGGTGTGAGTGTTAAAAGCTGGGACTACAGATGAGGTAGGAAGAAGACAGTTCAGAATGTGGAATGCGGGTGATAGCAGCACTATCTACTTTTAAGATGCTACAAGTCTTTATTTTTGCTCTAACTTCCAGGGGTGGTTTCACTGTGGTTCCTGCACTGCAGGGTTTTTGAACTGGAGGGTCCCTTCCAACTCCACTATTTTATGAATGTGACTGCTCTTCTGGAAGAGCTCGCCATCCACTTGCACGCACAGGTTGTGTTCTTGCAGAATGCTTGCCTTTCCCAGGTGCCATACTTGTCGTCACCAGTGCAGGTTAGGAGCCTTGCTTGACACACAAATCTTCACTGGGGAAAAAATGGAGACGAACACTCCTTCCCCTCCACATATCCTCTTTTAATCTGTAGGGTGATGTCCTACAAATGTGGTTGGCCTCTGTTTCCCATCATGGAGAGGGCACCACATTAATTTCCCCTCCAATACAGCAGTGTGCTTAAGGTAAAGGTAAGGGGACCCCTGACCATTAGGTCCAGTCGTGGCAGACTCTGGGGTTGCGGCACTCATCTCGCTTTATTGTCTGAGGGAGCTGGCATACAGCTTCCGGGTCATGTGGCCAACATGACTAAGCCGCTTCTGGCGAACCAGAGCAGCGCACGGAAACGCCGTTTACCTTCCCACCAGAGCGGTACCTATTTATCTTGCACTTTGACGTGCTTTTGAACTGGTAGGTTGGCAGGAGCAGGGACCGAGCAACGGGAGCTCACCCCGTCGCAGGGATTCGAACCGCCGACCTTCTGATCGGCAAGTCCCAGGCTCTGTGGTTTAACCCACAGCGCCACCTGCGTCCTTCTAGTGTGCTTAAAGGATGTTATTGCAAACCACCTTGAATATATTATTTGGGGTAAGACACAATGGGATGGGGCCTGTAACAAGAAACAGGTCTGAGGGACAGCAGAGAGTGGCTTGCATGTGGTGGCAGGGAGTGTGGTGACAAGGGGGCAGTAGGAGGACTTGGGGTAGGAAGGGGGAAACTGAGGTCCCAGCTGGATGCAGTGTGTGTGGAGCCTTGAGCACAGGAGCTGCTTTAGTTGGGGAGGCTGGGATAAAGGCAGGAAGCTTGCTTTGCTTTTAGCAAAGTGGAAATAGCTATGTCTGTGGTGCAGAAGGGGGTGGCAGTATCTCGGAGGGAGCCTAGGGAACAGGTGGCAGTCAGTGAGTCTTTGTGATGATGTCAGGGGGCTGAGTTGGTCATAGCTTCCTTTCTGCCAGGCACCTCCCGCGCATGCTGCTGTCCGCTAGGTGGCGCAGCTCCACCGCTTCACCTCCGTGCTGTGCTCGCGGCCATCCCATCCAGATTGGGATTTGAGCCAGCCAACGCTGGAAATGGCTGCAAGGCCTTGGGCCTGCCTCAGCCAAAAGCAGGGGGCCGGGCTTCCTCCTTGCCCGAGTGACACAAGCGCCTCCTTTCCTCTCCCAGGCTGCCTTCATCTAGGCCGCTGGTAACGCCCCAGCTGGCACTGGGTCTGGGTGCCAGCTGTTTGGTAACGCGAGGCCGGCAGGGGCGTGGGGAGGCATTCGCAAACAGGGAGGAGGCTAAGCAAGCAAGCAGATCCACAGGGCGGGGCGAGAGCTCTCGGGCTGCAGAGGACTTGCTGAAAGTCAGAAAAGAAGAGGTTGCTAGGAAGGGGGAATGTCCATGCAAATGTTAATGCTTTAAAAGAAAAACCCTGTTTGGCGTAACGTGTGCATGTTATGTGGGGGTGGTGAGGGGTTGTACATGATGTAAAAAATGAAATTGGCTGTTCAGCTCCGGAGGGTGAATTCCAGTTCGCTGGACTAGCAAGGTTCTTTCCCCCTAGAAAAAGAAGCAATGGCCTTAAAAAGTAATCTCTGTGAAGGGGCAGTCCCCCTGCCCTGTTATGTGCCCTTTAAATTAAAGACAGAGTGATTAACCTGTGGCACCTGCAGACACAGCCAGATTCCAACACAACAGTCAGTCCTCCAACAACATTTGGGTTCTCTCCCCATTCCCGGCTTACAGGTGATTCCGCAAAGGCTGAACGCCTTTTTGTTCCCTTGAGCAAACTCTCCCCCCCCCCCCGCCCTTCTCCATGCAAACTCTTCCATTCTCCTGAGGAGCCGAATCTGATTTGGGCTCATAAATACGAACGCCATCTGGTTGTCACCGAAGTCTGATGCCTTAAAGTGCCTCTGATTACATTTGCATTTTAATGAGCTGATTGGAGCAGGAGAGCCTTCTTCTGGGGCCCCCGCGGTGGCAAAGCCCACTTTGCAGTTGCCCCACCCGTGTCGGAGTCTGTTTTTATAATCAAATATTGTGAATAAATTGCCTTTAAAAAGGAAAAAAACAACAACCTGACTTAAGTCTCCTGTGGTGTTTTTGCTTGCGAGTGTGTTTTTGCGGCAGAGAGTGTCAGCTTCCTGGATCACACCCTCAGTGTGCTGCTCGTGTACTCGTGCAGGAAAACAGTACTGCATGAGGCTCTTGCCGTAAGTTTAGTTCCAGAGAACGGGGAAATGGAGGGCAACTGGAAGCCTTCGGATTCTGTGTTGTGTTGTTTTTCAGGTCTGAGCTGCTGAGTCACTGCTTAGGAATTTAGAAATATCAGCACTTGTGGTCAGCTCAGCTGCTGAAAGCCAGGCTGTTTGCACTGTGCAACCTGCCAGGAATTGTCTCTTAAAACTGGAAAAACCGCACACGATTTGCGGTGCATTGTGTTCTTTACCGTCTGGGTTGACTCTCAAGCGACCAAAGATGGAAGAGGGCTTTTGTCGGGCCGCTCTCTTCAGCTTGCGTCAGGGGGCTCTGAGTGGAAGTGGGGGGAACATCTCTCACCCCAACAGCTGCTGTGCTCATAGAAGCTAGCCTCAGGTAGCGGTCAGGAGGGTGAGCGGAGCACTCCTCGGTTGCTATAGACAGCCTTGGGCAAACCACTTGGGCATAAGACCTCTGAAGCTGCACCAGGTCAGGAGCCCATCCTGTTCTCACGGTGGGCGACCAGGTAACCCCCATGTGAAGCAGATCACCCCTGGAAGCAGGACCTGAGCACAACATATCTCTCCCCACTTGTGGGTCCCAGCAGCCGGCGTTCAGAGGCCATTCCCCAGCCCCGAGAGTAAAACCATAGATCACATGGGCTAGTAGCCATGGACAACCTTGTCCTCCACGATTTTGCCCGTCCCCTTTTAGAGCCATCCATAGTTTATGCACTGTATGAATAAGTTTCTTTCAAGCTTGTTTTCTGCTCTGGAGAGTGGGACCTGAGCCAAGGGATTAAAGCGACAAGGAAGGAGACTCCGACAGCAAGGAAGAACTTTCAGGCGGCAAGAGCGGTTCGCCGGAGGAACAGTCTCCCTCGGGAGGTGGTGGACTCTCCTCCTTTGGAGGTTTTAAAGCAGAGGTTCGATGGCCCTCCGTTATATGATCCGTTTGGGATTCCTGCATTGCAGCGGTTAGAACAGAGTTCCTTCCAACTCTAAAATTCAATGATCTGAATCTTCCAACATTCTACCTCGTGATCCCAAGTTCTTGTGCTAATTTTATATGCTGGCCCTCTTTATTTTATCACATTTACAGTCATATCTCATGTTGCGTCCGCTTCAGGTTGCATTTTTTTCGGGTTGCGGACTGCCGAAACCCGGAAGTACTGGAACGAGTTACTTCCGGCTTTCAGCAGAAGCGCTAAATTGCGCTTTGCACATGCGCAGGAACACCGAATCGCAACCCACACATGCACAGACATGGGTTGCGAACGCTGCGGGTTGCGAATGTGCATCCCGCACAGATCACGTTCGTAACCTGAGCGTCCACTGTATACCACTTTTTATCTTCCAAGGATCTCAAGTTGGTGCATGTGGTTCTCTTGCTCCCCATTTCACCCTCGCAGCAACCCTGTGAGGTCAGTTAGGCTAAGAGATGGTAACTAGCCCCAGGTCACCTAGTGAGCTTCATGGCCGAGTAGGGATTCGAACCCTGCTCTCCAAGCTCCTAGGGACCCAGCGATCAACTGCGATCCACCAAAACCTCCCTGGGATCTACCAGTAGATCGCAATAGACCTGTTGGACACCCCTGTCCTAGTCCAATACTCCAACCCTTATGCCACACCGGCTCTCTAAACTGAAAAGCCCCGGACCTTTCCCCCCAGTCTGTAATATGGGGGTAATACATACTGATTTCCTTTAAAGAAGGTGCAAAGGGCTTTGAGCCAACCAAGTAGGATAATCTGCACGTTCACCCCTTTAGCATTTTGTGCTGTGGAAACAGGAAGTAACTGTTCCTGCAGTTGCTAGAAAGGAAAAGTAGGCAATGTTTCCTGCTGAGATGACAAGCCTACCTTGCCTAGACCTGTGCCTACAGTGAGACAAAGCTGCTCTTTTAAGGTCCAAATCTCTCTTCTTGCTGGCAGCCTCCAGACCACATCTTGCCCAGGAAGTATCACACTCTCCATCCAGCCTTGCAGCTCTTGCCCCTAGTGGGCAGTGGCTCTCCAGGGTCTTGGGTGGTGGTCTCCAACAGAAGATTCCTTTTATTGACATTAACATCGGTGCCATTTTAATACGGATTGGAAATTCAAAGCCCAGGGAGCCAGAACGCCGCTTGCTCAGGCGAAAGGCCATTTTACTATGCAGTACTGTTCTCCCAGTGGCTGCAATTCCTGCATTGCAGGGGGTTGGGCTGGATGACCCCCAGGGGTCCCTTCCCTTGACAATTCTATCACTCTTAACTGGATGCCTATGGGAAGCAGGCAAACAGCGCTTGGGCGCAACGGCTCTTTTCCCAGTTTGAGTTCCTCCGCAACTGCTTCTCGAAGGCCTTTTCTTCTCCCGAAGCTATCCCTCAAGGCAGTGGAGGTTTAGGGTCCGAGTTTTTCCTTCTCTGACATGGGTGACCTTCCCAGGTGGACAAGCCCCATCTGCCCTTCATTTCCCTCTACGGCAGGTGCAGAAACTGCCTTCTTGGGCTCCTCCGCTCCGTCCGCTGAAGCCTGTCTTTGAAGGCAGAGGAAGTCCTTAACTCCCTGAGGGTTTGAAACCCATCGACTCCCCTCAACTGGTTTAGCCGGCCAGCGGAAGCCGTTTCCATGGTGTGGCTGCTGTCGCACGCTGACAGCTTCTAGGAGCTGCAGGTGAGAGCTGAGGGCTGATCAATTACAGAGAGGTGGATAGTGGAAGCTAGAAAGGTAAGGATGGAAGGAGTAGCAAGGAGGCCGGCAGGTGTGGCCTGGTGGTTATAGATTATCTGTGATGGCCTGGGATTCAGACTCTGAGGCTGAACCTGAGGAATCCCAGCCTGCGCAGGAGTCCCTGCCTCCAGAACCAGCTGAGCTGGGGCCTGAGCCTGAAGGGTCCTCACCTGTGCTGGATCCTCAGGTGCAGGCACCAGCTGAATCTGCTCTGGCTCCTGAGGTGATGGAGGACCCATTGCCTGCAGGTGCTCCGCTCTCAGCCCCGTCAGGGGAAGCTGAGGTTGCCTCTGGGTCCGGTAACCCTCCAGCCTCTCCTGAGCTGCAGAGGCTCAGGGCAGAGAGGCGGAGGGAACTAAGTCTCCGCAGGAGGAGTGCTCGCCTCCAGGCCAGGAGAGGCGAGTCACCTGTGGACCGGGGCCGCCCTATGCCTCGGGGCAGATAAAAGCCAGCCAGCCCCAGTCCCAGGTTGCGGGAGCAACATTGTTGGTAGCCTGTTCCTGCCTGCACCCTGTCTGGCTCTCGTGCCAGAGTTCCTGACCTCACCCGACTCCCTGCCTTGGACCCAGCTACAGCTTTGACGGACAGCCTCCATACCACACCCTCGACCTCAGACTGGACTCAGACCTCGCCTCACGGTTAACCCACGGGACCAGCACATTGTCAGAGAGACTGGGGTTTGACTCCCCATGTGGCTGTGAAGCTCATGCCATGTGATCTTGGGGCTGGTTGCTGCCTCTCTCAGCCTAGCCCACCTCACAGGGTTGTCGTGAGGCTGCAACCAGGAGGGGAAGACCTGTATGCACCACTCAGTAAAGGCAAGATGTAGTAGTAGTAATAATAATAATAATAATATAATAAATTTTATTTATACCCCGCCCTCCCCCGCCAAAACCGGGCTCAGGGCGGCTAACACCAGGTATAAAAACAATTGATTAAAATACAACTTAAAAACAAGATTAAAATACAACGTTAAAATGCAGCCTCATTTCAGTAGAAACTCAAAACATTTTGGGGGATGAAAACATCAAATCTTCACCAAGGCCAACTATCCAGACTGGTCCTACGTGGGCCAGAAGAAAGCCAGGGAAGTCCCCAAATAGGAGTTCCATCACAGAAGGAGAAAGGAAAGGGGGAGGGGGATCAAGTGGATTCCAAGCCAAAGGCCAGGTGGAACAACTCTGTCTTACAGGCCTTGCGGAAAGAAATCCGATCCTGCAGGGCCCTGGTCTCACAAGACAGAGCGTTCCACCAGGCTGGGGCCAGTGTTGAAAAGGCCCTGGCTCTGGTTGAGGCTAATCTGACTTCCTAAGGGCCCGGGACCTCTAGGGTGTTGCTATTTATGGACCTTAATGTCCTCTGTGGGGCATACCGGGAGAGGCGGTCCCGTAGGTACGAGTGTCCTACCTAAACGTAGCAAATGAGCTGTGCATGTAGCCGAAAGCCTTGCAATACACCGAGTGTCCTTGAGAGAGAGTAAAACCAAGGCCTGCACATCCCGTTCTCCGCCTCCTTGCTCAGAATCCGGATGCTTTTGCAGGACACCGACAGGAAAATGCCAGCGAGCTCAGCGAAGCAGGCAGGAGTGTGTGTGTCCTGCCTTGCAAACTTCCAGGCCTCTGCCTGGCTTGGTCACTGCGAGGAGGGGAGCCCCTTCCCGTCCTGCTAAGTCCTGCTGCAGCCAGTGAGCCGCCAGAGGGCAGAATGGCGGCGAGGCCTGAGTAGAAGGCGAGGGATCCATTTGCATGCAGCTTTTGCTGTGCAAAAGCAGAGCTGCCTCGGCTTTCCCTCTGCTAAAAGTTGGCCTTAACATTAGCAGAGTGAAGCCAAGGGGCCGAGCCTCCTTTAAAGGATCCTGCGTGGGTCTCGTTGCATGGCACAGGTGACGCTTTGCCTTGTCCGGGGTGTGCGATGGGTTGGGGTTGCTGCGAAATCTTCCCTATTCTCTGGAGCCAGCCAGTCGTTCCTTTCTCACTCGCCAGCCGCATCGGCAGAGGTTTGTTTTCTCCGCCTTCCCGCATCCTTACAGTTTCCTGTTTTGTTTTTCAGGTTGTCAGAAAAAGCACACAGGCAGCTGGCAAAACACTGCAAATATCACCCCCCCCAAAAAAAACACCTCCCCAAGTCACATTTAGGTGGTCCCACGTGAATCGGGATGCGAGCTTGTTTCGC